TTCAGTAGCCCTGTTGGTGCATGTGGTGGTACCAAATAGCCCCGGTTCTGAAATTCTGGTCCAAACCATCGCTTTATTCGTCCACTGTTTTTAAAGTCTTGCTTTGTGTAAACAGCACATAATGCTTCTGAGGAGTCCACAAAGCTAATGCTGTTTTGGTATTTAAACCTCTGTGTTGGTTACTTTGTTCGTGATCCTAGGCTCGGTGTTTAATTGTAACGGGTCTTGTGTATGCAACGGGTATGCATATTCTTGCTGGAGAGAGAGAGAGAGGGTTTAACGTCACTCGACACAAACTAGGTAATTTGGGGACTGACATATGGTTTAATTTTATTTCAATATTTCGCTTACGCGTAGGGGTCTTTAGTAGTGGACATAAACCGGAGGAAACGGGGGACCCGGAGAAAACCCACGAGGTTGGACAGGCGACTCTACTAGTACAACCGGGGAGTTGAAACCACGCCAGATGACTTAATGACAGACCTTATGATATAGCGCGCACGTGCTAACCATTCAGTGTTTTTTATACGTTTTGATAATATTAACAAGAGTCAAATGAAAGTAAAGCAGTTGGCTACAATTTAATCTGTCTTCTTTTTGTTTTACAGAATCAGGAAGTGGCACCTACAACCTGAATAACTATTACAGCCGCGTGTATAATATGGTACCGGTTATGGAAATCTATCTAAAGGAATTTGCCTATATAAAGAAGACGGAATGTGCTATGGAATGTAGCAAGAGCCAGGAATGTTACCAATATACAAAAAATGATTCTGTTTGTAGATTATATGGTAATGTGTGCTTTACAGATGATTCGTCTGGGGTTCCACTGTGGCAGAGAAAACGACAATAGTTTTAAAATACAATCTGAGTGTAGTAAAGACAAGTAAAACGAAATTTTGAATTATAAAAAAAACGAAAGAAAATAGGATCTGTTTTTTAATCAGATTGTTTTAAAATACAAGATCGCGATCACCTTGATCCGTTGTCCGATGGTCCTGAAACTGGTTTTCAAATTCGCTTGAAATCGTTCATCGGCTTAAACACACAAGAATTATTCGAATGGAAATCGCAAATTTCTGTTCCATGTGTGTCCTTTTACATTTTATACCGCACATATCTGTGTAATAAATGCTTCTCTAATTTACATTATTTATTAGGACGTATAATGCTTCGAACGAACTGAAAAATAAAATTTATTTCACGGTATTTAGAAGCCAGAAATCTCCGATCGGTATAGCGGTTAAACTGAAATAATTACAGTGACTGAATCTTATCTATCTTTAGATAACTGAGACGTACTAAGTTAACATGATGATATTGATGTATCTTATTTCTTTATATCTTGGAATTCAATAAACTAAATATATTATTTGATACTCAAAACAAATAGAGATTTTGCAGGAACGTGCCCTAGAATTGGAGCAGCGGGGTGTAAAAGGTGTAGATATCGTCAAGCTTGGCATTAGGCCGAAGGGGGGGGGGGCTACCCGCGCAAAATCAAAAGCTTTGGGACGAATATTTCTGCTCCTTTAGGTGCATACATGTATAGGATTACAGTGGAGTGAGCCAAAAAAAAAACTGAGTCATTTCCATGAATGCGCCTATTTTGGATGGTTTATTGTTCAGCTGGTGAGATATACCAGAGAATGCTCACTGATGATGACATTTTGACCCGGGGCAATCAATATTCTGAAACGGCAATATTTACTGCATTATTAAAGTTTTACAGTCGTCATCACTACATTGTTGATGGTAGTAACAGGTTTTTACCTGCGCTGACATATTTGGTCAATCCTAATTTATAGTTTAATCATACCGGACCTTTCATTTAGCTTGGATGGTTGTCGTGGCCGCCAATATGAACTGGACCTTGGATTTTCGTCAGATCCGAACGATTATACGCTGGCCATTGCCGGACCCATGCCTGAAAATCCTGATGAACTTTCTAGCCCTACACCAAGATCGAACACGGGACTTGCAAGTTAGCGAGCTAACGTCCCTACGCACTAAGCCACCGTGGATGTTGCGACACTTAACAAGTTCTTTTTTGAAATACCATATGGTGTATTTTGTATATCAGGAATTGTATTGCGCGAACTTGAGTCTTTGAATGTATTCATTTGCAGGTAATTCTACGCATATTCTCATAATAAGCACCTTCAAAAGCAAATGCCAGGATATTGAGAAAATATGTTCCGGGACCACCTCTCAAATTACTTTTTGTATTCATATAGGTACATTGTAAGATGGGGGTTTTAACAGTTATGATTAATTTAACAAATCAATAATGATTATATTTGTGGCGAGGGATTTGGTTATTTTAATAAATGTCTGCAAATAATTAGCTTTTTGATCTCGATTGATTGCTTTCTCAATTGACTCTCTCTTTGATTCGAAATATTGCCCTCAAGAAAATATTCGATTAATTAAAGAGTTGTGTGATGCAGGCTCGCATGGATGTCAATATTTCAGTCCTCTGCAACTTTTAAGCTAAAAAACGCGACTTAATGGAATTGGTGTTTAACGTCCCACGTTTTTGCACCAACCAGAAATGAAGACGGGAAACGCCACGGACTACAAATATGTTGTAGAATTCTTGTGCATGCCCCACCCCCTCAGCGATACAAACCTCTAATTTTTGAGATTTTCATTATTTTGTCACTCATAAATATTTTTAGGATCCCCCAGTAGCGCATTGAGTGAGACACTGGCTCGCCAGACACAATTGTCCCGTAGTTGACATATAGAAAGTTGCTCGGGATTTTCCGGCGTAGTTTTCCATCGTCAGTGGTGCAGGATATGTTTCCCAACAAAGAACAACGTATAATCTTTTGGGTGGGACGTCAAACCGAGGTCCCATGTACACGTGGGCCCGCACGTAAAACAACCCTTGACAGATAAAATCCGAACAGATCCTTAAAAACAACTGGCAAGGACACTGTAAACCGTGCACACGGCGAATATATTAATTTGGGGTCATCTCGTAAGTAAGTAAGCTAAATGGGGAATATTCTCATTCAAGCTCGTATTGCTACGCCAAATTGTGTAGACAAATCTATTCTATATACTGTACATCGGCCCTTCAATTAAATCAGTCTAAATTCTTCATTTTCTATTTTCACGTTTTGCATCGTATTTTCTAGTGTATATCGACCCTTCAGTTAAGGGCATGGTAGAGTGACACCATCTTGTTGCAAACCAATCTCGACACCAACAAGACTGAACGTATTATTTTCCAACACAGAATAGTGACCCTTGGATACAAAAGACCAAAATAAACTATATTACTCACAATACACTATTTCACTTTCATTATCTCTTTAAATCGTGGGGGGTTGGATGGCTTAGTGGTAAGCACGTGCGCGCTGTATCATTCAGTCTGTCATTGAGTCAACTGACGTGGTTTCGAATCCCCGATTGTACGTGACAAGGAGTAGGGTCGCCTGTCCAACCTCGTGGGTTTTCTCCGGGTCCTCCGGTTTCCTCCCACTGCTAAAGACCCCTGCGCGCAAGCGAATTATGGAAATAAAATTGAACCATATGTTAGTCCCGAAATGACCTAGTTTGTGTCGAGTGGACGTTAAACCCCATCTCTCTCTCTCTTTAAATCGTACACCCGCGTTTTATCATGTAAACGAACATTTCAAATTCATCACGTTTTTGCCCAATCGCGGCTACACCTAAAGACAAAACTATAAATGTTGGGGACAGCTATTATCTCTCTATTGATACTCTGATCTATGTAGTACAATAGTAGTGTCTTAGATTTTCGAGTTGCTTTTCTGTTTCCATGTAGTGTGAGATTTCCACGTCCGTGAATGTTTTTTGAGGACCCCTCATTTCAAGTGTTGTGACAATTTTTGTCACTTTACCTTGCCCTTAAAGCATTCTAAAATTTTTGTTTCGTCTGATTGCGTTTAAACTTCAAACAAATTCTTTCTTATATTCTTATATTCCAGACATGTAAATATTTACCAATATGATTAATAATTGGTATTATAAGATGGGTGTTTTTCTAAAACAAATCGAGATTTCGCCATCTAACTGCTACTAATTAAGAGGAAATACACTGACGTCCAATAGATAATATGACAATTGAACTGGAACGGTGGTTAAATAGACACATGGGGTTTAACTTTCACTCGACACTAACAAGGTCAATTCGGCACTAACAAGGTCAATTCGGCACTAACATATATTTTGACCTTATATCAACAATTCGCTTGCACGTAAGGGTCTGTAGCAGCGGGAGAAAACATAAGGATACGGAGAACACCCACGACGTTGGATAGACGACCCTTAATATTGTCATGTACAAGCTGGGAATCCACACCACGCCACTTTACTCAATAACAGACCATATGATCTAAAACACAGGCGTTAGACAATTCGGCCACCCAACGCGTTTGACCACTCAGCAACCCAACCCCTCATAGCATTAAGAGATCATTTATGTTTCGATATCCAAGATTCAGAAGACATCCAAGTTGCCAAAAGATCTGGCCCCAAGTTCACAAAGCATTCTCAGACTTAAGTTAAGAATTTACTCAACTTTCAATCACTGTTTATGAGAAATATCTTTGCTCTAGAAACACAAAACTTTGAACATAGTTTCTTATTGTTGTATTTGATACATTAAAACAACAAAAGTTTTATAAAGGGCTATATTTGAGTTCAAATAAGGCGAACAATTTTGAGTAAATTCTTAACTTAAGTCTGAGAATGTTTTGTGAACTCGGGGCCAGGGCTTTTTCCAGGAAACTGAATGCTACCTTTACACTGATAAGAGCTAAAATTTGTACAAGAATCTTAACTGCCAACCAATGACAAGGTCGCATCCTGAAAATATTTCTGTTTAAATGTTCGTGAATAAGGCCCATGGTATACATGTTTAGGAAAGTAAATGGTTATGCAATCTTTCACTCAATGAATGTGGGAAAGACACGTCAATTTATACCTCAATAATAAAAGCAAACAAAACAAAATCGAACAACTGGTAAACATAATTAAATATTGTTTATTAGTAAACAAGGCACAACGAGGATATATTTTTATTTATCGTTTCTTGGCGATCTGCAAAATAAAAAACAAAAACAAACCTAAAGTAAATAGCCCACAATATCAGATATATATTACGTATTAAATGGTCCATGAAATCGCAACGTGGCTATTATTTTGGTATAATTAGGTACCGTACCTACATTTATCTGCCAACACTCAGTATTATGCCACCGATACAGACCACAGTCGAATCGACAAAGGGACCTTTGTCCTGATTGCTGATGGAGCTAAATCTTTATCTCAACATTCTACCTAATATTCGAATTTAAAAACACGAACTTTGGTACATTTCAATCAATATTGATGTTGTTATCTTGCCGTGAAACTATAGGATTATAATATTTAAGACCCAATGCACATTTAAAATCAGTACACGAGGGATAGAATTGTTTCCAACGCCTTTTGTAATGAACAAAGGAAAACGAGTCCCAGAAGACAACACAGAAGTAGTTAAAAATAACTGATTCACAAACGGCAAAATAATAATTTAAAAAAAAACCCCAAAAAACCAAAAAAACCCCATCTCGATTGGAGTTTTCACGTATTTCACCAAACATAATTGATAAGTAATTACTATAACAATTTTTAAAAATATGGTGTAAATATAAATGACTTTATATAATTTATATTACACTATTATATGCTTTTAGTACCATGTTCATCTATTTAAAGGTTCCAAAGAATAGAGCTCTACGCCCGTTAATAATTCAGATGAGCAAACCACCATGGTTAGTTTTTCTTGTCTTAAAGAAACTTCTTTTAGAAGCTAAACTTCTTTGGACGAATTGGCTGACAGCGAGTCACCGGCTCAATTTTTCAAATAAAAATACTACAACATAAGGACGTCAGGAACTAATTACTAATAAACAATAGATTCGACCACCCAGTCCGTGGTAATTCAGTTCCACTTCCTAAAGTCAGATACCTAGCACGGGGCATCTGTCGTACCTACAACTAGACACAATGGAATGGTGTTTAACGTCCGACTGTAATGCTCATGCAGTGTGCTATGAGGGGAATTTTGCCCAGACAGCGGCACTAAGGCCTACTCTTATTTCAAATTCCTACTGCCATGGGTTCTTTTACTTGCACACCAATGTGTACGCGGGACCTCGTCCCATCCGAACGACTATACGTTGTCCCTTGCCAGACCCTCCATTCTGCATCACCTACAAGGGTAAACCACGCCGGAAAATCCCGATGAACCTCCTCGGTCAACGCAGGGATAGAACATGGGACCTCCAGGCTAGCTAGCAAGCGACTCCCAACGACAATATTCAAACTTATAATTAATGTATAATTACCGGACAGTTTTCACAATTCGGTGCACAAAGTTCACAGACTTCAGAATGTTCTGCCATTGATGATGAGTAGGGTACCGATAAGGAATTTTCTACAATAAAAGATGAAATGAAATATGTAATTCAAACGAAACGAAACTAAAAATAGATATAAATTCAATATACATGTATACTAAGATATTTTCTTTTTTCAAAAAATAATATATAATTAAAATCTCATTGAAATTTATTTTTGTTTATTTCAATTCATATTTCCCATATGTTTTTAAATTAATAAACGAAACGAATTACAGATATTATATACATTTATTTAGCTACCCTAAATGCTGACGGCAATCTTTTTAATGTGATCTTGCGTCAAATGGAATTGTTATAATATAAAAAAACAGCATATTAAATATAGTCCTGGAATCTCCTAATTTTCGAAAATCGAATCAATGACAAGAGAAAAGTATGCTTCAAAACCATGACGTGTGTACGAATAGTATTGGATCTTATCTCAGTGATGGATCAAGAAATCTGCCTTAATTTAACTGTTTAGTCAAATAAAAGCAAATCGGAACCTGTTGTTTTTTGTACGAAACAGCTATGGTAGTCAGGGGGGGTTGGATGGCTGAATGGTTAGCGTGCGCGCGCTGTATCATAAAGTCTGTCATTGAGTCGACTCGCGTGGTTTCGAATCCCCGGTTGTACGTGGCAAGGAGTAGGGTCGCCTGTCCAACCTCGTGGGTTTTCTCCGGGTCCTCCGGTTTCCTCCCACTGCTAAAGACCCCTACGCGCAAGCGAATTATGTAAATAAAATTAAACCATATGTTAGTCCCGAAATGACCTAGTCTAAGTCTAAGGGAGGTAACTAGTCCTAAAACAAGATGTTGACGACCATGAGAATGCCATTTCAGAAAAGTCATTTGATTGCATTGTCAGTTCAATACCCAACAGTCTTAACTTTTTTTGTCCCCCGCCTTTCGAAGAAAGCAGGGGACTATTAAAATGGGTTCGTCCGTCTGTCTGTCCGTCTGTCCGTCCGTCTGTCCGTCCGTCTGTCTGTCCGTCACACTTTTTGGGACACAATAACTCTCTTCCTAATTGAGCTAGAATGTTCAAACTTGGTGTATGTGTTTATTAGGTCAATGCCTTGATGGAGTTCGAAGATGAGCATTTTCCGCTTAGGGTAAGCAGAGATAAGCAATTTGATTGGTTGATGCTTTGGGACACGATAACTCTCTTCCTAATTGGGCTAGAATGTTTAAACTTGGTGTATGTGTTGATTAGGTCAATGCCTTGATGGAGTTCGAAGATGAGCATTTTCCGCTTAGGGTAAGCAGAGATAAGCAATTTGATTGGTTGATACTTTGGGGCACGATAACTCTCTTCCTAATTGAGCTAGAATGTTTAAACTTGGTGTATGTGTTGATTAGGTCAATGCCTTGATGGAGTTCGAAGATGAGCATTTTCCGCTTAGGGTAAGCAGAGATAAGCAATTTGATTGGTTGATGCTTTGGGACACGATAACTTTAGTTCTAATTAAGTGAGATTGATGAAACTTGGTGTATAGTTTCATTACAGTAATACCTTGACTAAGTTTGATAATTAGCATTTTCTGCTCAGGGTAAGCAGAGCGATACGCAATTTGATTTTTATATGTGTCCTCTAATTATTTTCCTATTTCGGCGGGGGACATCAGCCTCACTGTTGGCTTGTTAAATTGTAAAATGTCTTTCTTTATTCATGGGTCATATTGACAACGGTCCCAGGCCCTCCGTACATTGAAGACTAGAAGGTTCTGGGTGACCGAGACTACAGCAATGGTAGCTTTAGATTGCAATGAAATATTCTAAAAGACTAAAAGATTGGCGCACATTACCTGGGTTATAATAATCTACTAGGGTTATAAAAGCACCCTTCAATTTACCAACAACTTCAGTCTTTGTTAATCTCAGTTTTATACACATGGGTTCATTCTCAATCTAAAAATCAGTAGTCATTTAAATGTAAAACAACTTAAAAACATATTATTTCTTTAAAAATATTAACATCGAATAAAGACAAATTTCGGAAATATACCCTTTGATTTTACCTTATAGTAAATCTCTACCAAATAAGATATAGATAAACGGATAACACGATATCAGGTGTTCCACACCATAAAGCCTCTCGTCACTTATTATCGGGTGGGTTATACATGTATGTGGGGGGGGGGGGGGGGTACCAGATAGAAAATCTCTTTGGGTGGTTTAAATACAAAAGTACAGCAAACGTTTGTAAGTTATGCGAATTTTTTAAGCGTCACCAATCCTATAAAATGGGGATTAACGTCTTCTTCACTGACGGGGATAATGAAGACGGACGTGTGCCATACCGTGCCATGACGGAAATTGTACCTGGACATCGGTGGTACGGCTTGCTCTTATTTCGAATTTCACCTGTCGATGGTAACTACGAATACGAAAATTCCGGGGATCTTTCTCGATCAACACTTATATCAAAAAAACGCACCCCCGGACACCTGGTTAGTAAACCAGCACCTTTGTCAGTGAGCGACCGTGGCTCTCTTATCCACGTCAAAGAGCAACCATAAAGTCCAAACTTACTTTTGTTTATGGTTAGTTAGTTGTAACTACTTATTTATTTTAAGGACCTCATATTAATATTGCACATTTTATCTCGAATTTTCGTGGCTACATCATAATATGGGAGCGCTACCTCGAGAGCTGGTCAATGTGAATGATGTTTCCGAAATTGTAAGTTTAGTCTGTCTATTTAGAAAATTTCATAAAGCGGGAAATAATTACTAACCCCATCAAAATATAGTACAAATTTTCTGTAAAGTGTCTCAGTTCTTTTGATAAGTTTATTATCGACTAGATTAGACTCATCTACAGTGAAACCACTGGGTAGGCCAACTTCCATCAAAGTCATTCCACTGGAAGCACCTTCGATACGCCATCTGTAATATAATAATTTAGATTGACTCTATGGTACGCTTCAAAGAAAGAAACGCATAGCCCATTTTTGATCATTTTTTTTTTATTTGAACGGGATAGTTGTATTCATAAATCTTACTTGTTTTTAATGTCATTATGTAAGGATAAAATAAATTCATTATTGCTTTTAAATGTAGGGTCACTAATTGTAACTGGTCATACTTTTTGCCGAAATTTGTTTTCGCTTGATTGCACCATGACACAGAAGTTTATCAACTTTGCAGGCTTTTCGTATGAAACCCGAATCTAAGACCATTAAAATCCGATGATTCTCGGTTTTAAAATCAGTTGCACATGTAGACAGTCAACGAGCCAAGTGATGCCACGTCTGAAAGAAGATCAACGCAATAACGCTATCTGTTGGTTACGAGTAGGCGAACCCCAGACAGATGCTGAATGTTTCCCGGAGTACCATCTTTCACCTTTGGGATAGGTAACAAAAGCGAGATTCAGCAGTGACCCACGCATATATAAAAGGTGGCAGTAAAGGTCCGTGAAGGGTTGGGATGGCCTAGTGATCTAGACCGTGGCGCATCGGACTTGCGGTCGTGGTTTCGATTCCTGGTGTGAGCGTATGTGGCTTGGCCATTGGGGTGCCTTCTCAGCCCTGTACCCGAAATTTCCTCCTACAGACAAGACCCTTGCACGTGTGCTAAAAAGATAAAATAAGACAACTTGTCTGTGATATCACCGGAAGCGGACGTTAAACACCGCGAACAACAACAACGACAGTGTATGCGAACTGCAGAACAAAGGACACGATAACAAGATTCAGCCCACTGATTAAATCTGAAGTTCATGATATTGCGAGTTATTTTTCCTTCTTCGCGTGGCCATTTTTGATTCAGATCTCGTCTAGATTGGAGAAAGCGGGTTTACATATTGATTCCTAACTGGTTAAATGGGGAATGTTAATGGTCCAGGGGTAAACAAATATGCATCTGGCTATGCGTTAACTACTTCCACTTACCATTTACAATGACATATCTTAAAATAACCAGAGCAAAAAATACAAGATTCCATTTTATATAATTTGTTGAACAATTTAAGACATGTCAAGTGTGGTATGTTAAGATAAAAATGGTTTTGTGTTCCACCGTAAGCCAAAAATTTAATAAACAAGATGGTTCCCGCTTAATCTTTCGAAACAAAATGCAATCGTACAGAACGTGACTCGTCAGTAATTGAAATAACACACGGAATCAACCCATGTTGATGCTTTATTTTACATAAATTACAGAAGTTATTTTAAAAGCAGAAATAAAAATAAGCTAACTTACTCGGCACATGCTTCAACATGAAGTGATGTAAGAGTTTCTGACACTATGGATACTCTCAAACCGAATGATGACTGAACATCTATTTCCATTACATTGTATTTTACTGTTGCCTAGCAACGATAAAAATGAAATACTGCTGTCATATATTCAAAGTTATAAACACATTGTTTCATTATTATAACATTAGACGATAAAACATTACTGAGAAACTGCTTTCTCTATTTCGTTTCGTTTTATTTTTATTATACACCTGGCATATGTCCCTTAATGTCGGCGTTCTGATCATGTGAACCAATTGACGAATCAAGCTATCCGTAGTTTTATCGCAGGCGGTTACCGGAAATGAAACCCACAGTGGGCTGAAGGTCTTACTGTTTTGCGCGGACTGGAATAGTGAAGATGAGCATACGGCATACCGCCTGCTATGGGTGAGATTGTGACAGGACAGTGGCGTTCCGGCCTACAGTGATATCGAATTAAAACTGCCAACACGGGACGTCGGTTTATCCTTCTATCGGAACGACTATACCCTGTCCCTTGCCAGGCCCTCTAACCTGCAAAATTTACTTAATTCTCACCAATTAATACTAAAAAGGTATAATTGAGAAAAATCTTACCATGACAACAGCTCGTCCACTTCTACCAGTTGCCTTTATATCAATGGAATCTGTTGTTTCATTTGTCTGAAAATAAAATAATGATTAATACTCTTTTGTAAAAAGAATATTTCAAATGCAATTACGGATATCCTCTTTCTATATACAGCGGGTGTGGTTCTTTAATAATTACTTACAATGATTTTAACCGAGATAGTTCCTAAGGCGTTTCCACCATGGTTAACCGTGTCAGTGGTGCAGGTACAACATAATATAGCGGTTCGGATGGGACGTTATACCGAGATCCTATGTACACATTGTCGTCCAAGTAAAAGAACCCTTGGCAGTCGGAAGTCTTTATAAGAGTACGCCGTAGAGACGATGTCCGTACAAACGTTCTCTCAAAGCACTTTGTATGGCGTATGCTTATCTTCACTAGCTCCACTGGAGTACAACAGTAAGGCGTTAAACCGCATTTCATTTCATTTCTGTAGCACTGACATTAGTTTTATTATATTGCGTTTTATTCTACATGACAAAGCTATTTACGTGACAAACCAGTAAGATGGAACATCGTTTGTAACAATTTTTAGCTGCACATAAGACCTATGCATAGGACCAAATATCTACTACAAAGTAGACTACTTACCACCCATTTTCTCAGTACGGTTGCTGATGTCTTAGAGATGCGCCAGTTCTTGAATTGTCTACAAGCATGTATGTTGAGATTCACATCCCATGTATCAGCGTAGATGAGCTGGGCAAACTGAGACATGGCCCACAGGGCTACAACAGTATCCTGTAAAAAAAAATGTTTAGTCATTATTCATCTGCAACAATTGTTTGCTTTGGATAAGGCATGCTTACTCTTTTTGAGAAGTTCACAAAGTCATCAATTTTTTCTGTATTATATTGGCTTTTGATATCTAAATTATGTCTGTAAAATCAGTAACTGCCGGCTTCTGACATTCCACTCCAAACCCTTTTCTCTGTTTAGCTAAAAACAGTGGCGAGTGTCTTGCACGTGGCAGGTTACACTAATTCTTTATAAAACAGCGGAGTTGACATAGCTAGCACATTTTTATTTAATTACAACCATGCGAATAACACTTAGAAAAGCAAAAATGCAATCGCCTGTTCAACAAATTGTGCTGTGTAACCCCTGTTCCGTTGTCAGTGATGGAGAATTTGCAAGATATAAACTACTTGGTATTTGTGTGTTTCGTCATCAGTTAGATATTCTAATCGAGATGTTCTAGGTCTGCATTTGTGTATTTCGTCATCAATCAGATATTCTAATCGAGATGTTCTAGGTCTGCATTTGTGTATTTCGTCATCAGTTAGATATTCTAATCGAGATGTTCTAGGTCTGCATCTTCTATTATACCGTAAGAACACCCACCAAGCCCGCCCGCAAAATGAACAACGGAATGTCTTTAGACAACGGGTAATACCTGAGAGGAAGAGTATCCACCATTACCATTCTGTTGCGAAATGAGCCATGACATAACTGGAAGACCTTTGAGTGTATCTTTTTTTAGTCCATAGACTAACAGAGCATAAGCTGTAGCTTCAATATTCACGGCACTGCTCTGTTTCCTTGGTGGGTTCCAGAAATGTTTCACACGATCTTCGTCCAGGACAACATTCCAGTACACGTGACCGTCTATAACATAAATAATAAATATTTTACATTGCTATATTTGATTACCGGAAATTGTGTATGGTAGCATTTAATTGCTTAGCTTTTATTAATAAAGTTAAACAAAGAGCTATATTTCGTGATTATTCTCTCAAGTGTGCTAAAGAGCTTCCTATTCATATGTTATCGGATATTATTTGGAAAAGATAAACCAGGATCTTGGAAAGAATCCACTGGTAGTTATTGAATCATCTATTAATTTTCAGCTCTCCCAAAAATTCGACCTGCGACCGCTGCTACTTACCAGATATTGTGTGCCGTGCGAGTCAAATAGAAACCAGGTATCGTACTGTTATGTAAGAATATTACATGTTTTGGCATACATGTCTTTCCATACAACAAACTCTATAAGCTTACTTTCTACTCGATCTGTCAACTGGCGGGGTTTCGATTCCCCGGTTGTACGTGACAAGGAGTAGGGTCGCCTGTCCAACCCCGTGGGTTTTCCCCGGGTCCTCCGGTTTCCTCCCACTGCTAAAGACCCCTACGCGCAAGCGAATTATTGAAATAAAATTTAAAAAACATATGTTTGTCCCGAAATGACCTAGTTTGTGTCGAGTGGACGTTAAATCCTCTCTCTCTATCTCTTTCTCTCTCTCACTCTCTCTCTCTCTCTCTATTCGACCTCGATAGGAGATAATGATCGCATCAACCTAATTTTGGATTGGACGTTTCACACACCAATTTCTTATAACTATTTCTTAAAGAATTCGGTGGTTTTCCCGGGCTGCTATTACAGTATTCGTGAAATCTCACCTTTGGTTACTTGTGCAGCTTCTAATTTACTTATAACAGCGTCAGCAGAAGGACTTTTGGCTTTGGATAAAGCATAAGCAGTGATGGCTAGTTCGTAAGCATTAGTCATTGTAGCAGAGGCTGTCACCAAATAACTGATAGTCAAGTCAATGTTGTTCTGAATCTATAATTAATAAAAATAAGAACACACTTTAGTCATTTTAGATATAAAATCATTCTTTACTTTGAGAATATACCTCTGCTCTGAATAGCCGCCATATCAAATTTTGTTTACTATTCTGTAATTGAGGTTCTACCCGTTTTCACATATGTCATACATACAAAGACTGAATAATCCTCACTCTTGTTAAATGGAAGCGGAATAAACACTTTCCAAAATTCGCGAAGTATGCTTAGTGTTTTTGACTAAAATTGTCGATTTAGGAATTAAAATGTCGGTCAACTATGTTAGTGTCTGTTCTCGTGTGGTGCTAATTGTAGACAGACGGCTGTAGTATGGTATATAATCTAACTCGACTGACTGGCGTTCCAAGTGATAGTTATTTTAGGTTCATAGAAATCCAATTAAAGTGACAAACGGCAAAAACCTAATCCGACCTCTTTCTTAAATATTTCTTGAACAATAGCTATTGACAATCTGCAGACCTATAAAGCAAATTGTTGGCGATATCTGTTCTGAAATATGGTTTCCAAATTAAGGAATTAGTACTTACGGAACTTTTGTCTTTCACTTCCAACAGAGCTAGTAAGGAGAAAGCTGTCAAACCTACTCCTTGGAAAGAACTTCCCTGAAAATAGTCAAGACGCAACGCATCACTTCATGGTATTCCAACATGGCAAAATACATGTTTTTAATTATTTGACGTAGAATTTCAATTTTTGTGTATGTTACTAATTTAGGTCATGGTTTGGTTTTCGTTTATTTTGTTGCTAAAGGACAATGACGTGCAGGAGTTTGGGGATGCCCCGGAGCAACAACCCCTTGAACGTATGCCCCAAGGCTACAGGTTCTCGATTTTATGCTCCCATGAAGAACCAATAAAGGGCCTAATGTACCGAGCAATACAAGAAAGGAAGACAATTACAATATTGAACTTTTTATTCAAACCAAATATAGTTAATTAAGTTTGGTATCCATATGGAGATCTACTGCCAGAAAACTCATCTCTTCCATTTTGTACAGATTCTCTACTGTCGCGTTTTAAAAAACGGATTCCCATTCACACCATCTCAGGGTGGGGGGTGGGGGTATGGGTACTGTAGATCAGCTTGAAAAACGACGTTAACAGCGATACTTTTAAATTCAAATAACCCCGTCATTGCTAAACAGTAATAGGTTACAAGAAATTGAATGAGGAATACGCCGATAGTAGCGCAGTGTGTCGCACCGCAATGAATCTTGAGGTGATCTATGTACAAAATGGATAAAACATATATCATACCCTTAATTCTTTATGTATAACACGACCGGGTTCTATAAAGGAACCATCTTCTTGTTGATTACTGATCAAGTAACGTGCTGCTCTACCTAATATATTCTCGTCAATATATACATATTCACTGGCTTCAGCAAATGTTCTCAGTACATAGGCGGTTAACCTGAAGAAAAATAAACATACATTGCAAAGATATATTATCAATTCGTGGATCGATCGTAGAAAAAAAAAATGATTTGATAATACCCAGTAAATCGTGAATGTTCAAAGGCGTTAGACGCATGTCTATACGACTTAATTTATAACAATTGATGTCATAAGGCAGAACTTATCGTGCTTATAATGGCACAGTAAAACCTACTTGTCCATAAAGCTCAATAAGAACGAGTGTCGACCAGGAAGTGAGTATGACGTCATCGCAGCCATCTTGGAATTATGAAAGCATATCAAAAATCCGTCAATAGGTGCACAATTATTGTCCAAGGAACAAGCTTGCCAAATATGGAAAAAATATTTATCTTTTCATGTTATTTTCCATATTTTATTGTTTAATAATGAAGTTAGCAAAAACCACTACAAATGAAATGAAATTGAGTTTAACGTCCTACTGTTCTGCTCCTAAACTGGGCTAATGAAGACGGGCATACGCCATACAGTGTGCTATGAGGGAAATTTTTACCCGCGCAGCGGCGCTACGGCCTACTCTTATATCGAATTCCAACTGCCAAGGGATCTTTTACGTGCACGCCAATATGTACATGGGACCTCGGTATTTCGTCCCATCCGAACGACTAGACAGCTGTCCTTGTCAGGCCCTCCGTCCTGCATCACTGAAAAGGGGAAACCACGCCGGAAAATCTGGATGAACTTTCTCGGCCAATGCAAGGATCGAACACCCGACCTCCAGGCTAGCGAGCCAGCGTCTTACCCACTTAGCCACGTGATCCCCGCTTTGTTTACACCACGAGAACTGCTCGCTCGCTTTTTTATTCGAGCGATCGAGCGATACTGTTAGAATCGTCTCTGATTAGAATCGTCGCCCCCAAGAAGAAAAAGAACAAAAGGGTGAGTAGCTTTAGGTCTCGTTCCTGGTCCAGTAAAGGAGATACGCAGAGATCAGTGTAGATAACGAAAGGTAAGGAAAGTTACGTACATCCAGGTTCAGTAGAACTGTACAGTAAAATGCAAAATGCTTGGTTTTAGTGTAAGTCTTACATGTGCTTTGTGAATCTTGACAAAGAACTCATAGATAAAGGTGTTGGAGCTCTGGAAAGCAAACTCCTCTGTGGAGAAAATATCACAAGGTTTTCTCATCATGCTTAAGGAAATCCAAAAATTTACATTTTCGTCTGGAATGGACAAGACTACCCTGTGTAAGCATTGCCAAAAAGCATTTCATATTTCTGAATTAAGAGTTACAAATTATTTAGTTTGATACCACAAATAGAAAAAAAAATGACGAAAACCTACCATTGACTACCAGAGCTGTCTCTATCTCCAAAAGCACTAAAGGAAGAATCCAATCTCATATACCTCAACTGATTGGTATAACCTGTAACATAAAGGTTAATCCCCTTTAATTGTTCCATATGTAAGCGATAGATTTGTGATTTAACAGCAATTTACTTTAGTCATTTAGAAACTATCAAAATGGCTGTTCTGGTCGGCAAAGATACAACACCAAGCTCGGTATGATATAAATGCTGATCTGTTTTTATTAACTGAACAGCACCCAATTAAGATTTGTATTTTGTTGAAAGGGGTCTAGTGGTCTAACGCGTGCGCTTTAGGTCATAAAGCCCGCATTGAGTAAAATTATGTGGTTTTGATCCCAAGCTTGTTCGTGGCAAGGAGTAGTATCATCTACATGTACCTAACGTCGTGGGATTCCAACTACCGAGAAAGACCCACAGTCGATTTATTAAAATAAAATTAAACCATATGTCAGTCCCAAAGTGATCTAGTTCGTGTGGACTGGACGTTAAATCCCACTGATTTAGTCCAGAACCAGGAATCTGAAAGGATAATAATTAATGCGAACTATCTCTATCTCCATCATTGTTCTTCTAAAAAGTTAAAACAATAACTACCTGATTCTAAATAACCGGATATTTTGGTTTTCAGGGCGGTTGTCAGCTGACCTGTGGCATCCAGATAAATTCGAACATAAATATTAGGGACGAATCGCAACATATTTTGTTCACCACAACCACTAGGCATTCCGATCAAGTTTTCAAGATTATTGAGGGCAGAGCCAAGTGGGTCTCCTAAAATTAAAAAAATAGAGAGTTGATTTTTATTATCTTTCAAATAAATGAAATAAAAGGTAAAGATAATAAGCATCGAAATGTACACAACAACTTTCTAAAATACAAAAGACATTTTCCTAAGATAATGTAGATGTTCCATGTAGGAAATCATTTTCAGTAATCAACAAACATGAATTGTAACAAGTGATTTTAGGCTCCATTACTTTGTTCCAAAAGGCAAAACTTTAACGAAATAATATACATGTATCTCACCAAATGTGTTTTAACATACTTATTGACTTGCCAAACATTTATAAATATATAATTGACTTGCAGTAGGTTGGTAATGCTAATTGTCTTACCAAACATTGTAATTATATAATTGACTTACAAAAGTTCGTAATGCTAATTGTCTTACCAAACATTGTAATTATATAAGTGACTTACAACAGCTGGTAAAGCTAATTAACTTGCCAAACATTGCAATTATACAATTATGTTAATGGACTAACCAAACATTGTAATTATATAATTGACTTACAAAAGGTGGTAATGCTAATTGACTTACTAAAATATTATATTTATATAATTGACTTCAAAAAGGTAGTAATGTTAACTGACTTAGCAAACAATGTAATTGACTTCCAGAAAGTGGTAGTGCTAATTGACGTATCAAACATTACACAACTGACTTACACAAAGTAGTAATGCTATTTGACTTTCCACACGTAGTAATTATATAATTGATTTACAAAACGGAATAAATATGTTTGATAATTCAAATTCTCTTGCATCACTCCCGTACCTATTCTATCCCCAAAAATGTACAATTCAAAGAAAATTACAATTATTATATTCTTTACGTTTGGACATTATTATAATGTCAACAAAATGAGTTATAAAAATGCAAATAACACTGGGCGCTTCGGTATAACATAGATCGCATTGCCTATATAGTTGATATAGTTGTTCAGCGATCGTTATCTCGTAGGAAAGCAGTTTTATTCAAGTTGACATTATTATGATTGTTAGTGATATTATTATTATTTTCCCATGAACCTTAGAGGCTCTTACTTGGCGCCTCTACCCGTCCCTAAATCCGCGCATGCTTTATGTCGTCCAACGAGTCTGTTATTTCTTTCAACTATATTGGACTTACCGAAAGCGGTAATGATAATTCTATGAGAGTCAGGAACCACATTTGGTGGAAAAGTAATAGGAATGCTTGCTTCAAACGGGTTCTTCTCTTCTAAGTCGACTAAAACCACTGCATTATATTCAGCTGGTATACCCTCGGGCTGAAATTAAATCAGAGACCCAGTGAAAATCATAGTCCATAAATAAATTAACAACATGATTTCTATTAAATCAAACTATTTATATGCAGAAGACTATAAGTTGACAGCACGAGCAGTCCTATGTATTTTTTACCTGGGCGTATTTTTATTTATTGATGTATTTATCTATACTAATATTTGTGACTGTCTGTTCGGGGTTGGCGGCTACACTAGGTCTGCCCCGAGACTGAAACTTGGGGTATAGGGGTAGCTCGGACCGGGGAGTAACATAGGCCAGGTGGCGTTAGTCTACCACTTCCGGTTTCGGGGTTATGACCCCCGAGCGAAGCCGGGCATTCTTCTAGTCTGCCATAAACTTGGAAGTACATGTACTTGAATATATAAATATCGTTGTGCGGTTCAGGTAATATTTCAGGTACAGTACAGTTCACTTTCCATTATCTGTGGTAACGTCATCTTTTGGATAACGATTGGATAACGAAATTGTTCCGAGTCGTGCAAATTAAAAGATAATGGACACAGACCACACAAGAGATCCGAAAACTAAGCAAGCGCAATACTAAAAAAATTACCTCGACCAAAAGTTGTCTGGAAACCCTATCACCGGCTTGGTTACCAGAAGCTTTGGCAGCAACTTGAATGTTTATTGTTCCAACTTGGGTACACCTAATTGTGAAGTAGGCAGACGCAGTTCCATCAGCAGCTACCTAAAAACATTATTAAGAGACATATTTGAAATATGTAAAATATAACGGATTACAATTAAAATGCAAGAACTTAAATAATGCTGCAACTCAGGTATAGTTTAGTGAATAAACCAGAGCGACAGAGCTAGACCTTTGTAACCATCTGTGATAATGTATAACTTGTTGAAAAACCCGTGGAACAGAGCTAGACCTTTGTAACCATCTGTGATAATGAATAACTTGGTGAATAATCTGCGGGCGAGCTAGACCATCTGTAATAATGTATAACTTAGTGAATAACCGTGGGGAAGAGCATGTCCCTTGTAACCATCTGTGATAATGTATAACTTAGTGAACAACCCATAGGAAAGAGCTTGTCCCGTGTAACCATCTGAAATGTATTAGTTATGTGAACAAGAAGAGAACAAGAGAATCATTGTTGAAACGTGGCTTTAATAGAAATACAGTAATTGTAATCCATAGAACTGTTGTGTTTATTTTAGTTACCTTTATGGTTTGAATTTTAGCGTTTTGTGTTTCATACTGGAACCCCTCACTGTCCAGTTCTAGAACTATATAACCAGAGGCTTTTTCTAAGACAACTTGAGCCTGGAAAATTGAGAATTGTTAAATGAATTATGTTACAAAAGGCACCGTAATCTAGACTAAAGTCATGAACATTTTATGGTCGAGTTGGCTTTGAGTTTGAAGTAAAGAGAGAGAGAGAGGGGAATCGATACCACGCCACGTGACTCAATGACGTACCTTATGATCCAACGTATTAACCATTCAGTCACCCAACCCCCACTAATGAAATGAAATGGGGTTTAAGGTCCAAGTCTCCTAGACTTTTCTATGCCTTTGAAGTAAAATTGTATCTTTAAATACGGCCACGAATGAAATTGGATGGAGTTCAACGTCCTACTCAGCTCAGAGCTAAATTATCTCACCTCAGTGTCATCTCCAAGGTAGTTGAATATTGTCACCTGGATTCTCACTTCCTCACCTCGGATAACAGAATATGGAAGATTTAAACTAGCAAAGAATTGTCTAAGAACTGTAATCTGTAAATAACAAAATAAAAATAATCTCAGATATGTTGAATTTTACAAGGAAATGCACGTTGAAATGTCGTCAAGAATAAAAGTACGTGTATGTCGAATTAATCAAAACGTTAATTACAAGAATGTCAAATTTACAAACCAAGAGTTATTTTTTAAACAAAATATGTGAATCCACATCCGAAATTGAAAAAGTTTTTTGCGATAATAACTAAATGAATGGAGCAATTATCTCCAAAAATTCAAACACTTCGTTTATAATGTCCACTCACCGACGCTATGTCAGAGGTTAATCCCACACCAATACTGGAATATCTACTTATAGCAAATGCGCTGGCAGTCCATGTTGTTATTGTGTCTGGTACGTTCAGTGTAAAATTAGCTTCACCAGTGACACTTAAAAACAAATTAAATAGTTTATGTAAGCCATCTTTTCAGTAAGAGAAAGGTTGGAAGGGAGTTATTGTTAGCCATGCCCGATTTCAATACATGGCTTCATCTCACTTTAACCTCTCAGATTCCTCGATAGAAAATATCATCGCGAATACCAAGTCTCGCGCTTTCCAACTGAAATGTCTAGCTGTGATAATCAAGTTCAAGGTTCGTTCAGTCTCTAGGTCACTTTTCCACTACGATAATGCCTTGATCCACCTATCTAATTTATCTTTCTGTTCTTCCATTGTGCTGGTATGGTTGCTTTTCTTTGGTTTTTAACTAAAAAAAAAGCTTTCAATAGCTGTAAACGAATCTATTCCGTTGTGTTTATATCACATGTCTTTGGTAAATGGAGATAACGTACCTAAATGTTTGAGAATTTCAGACTAATCTAGCAACATCTAGATGTTGCAAAACTCACATTATATTGTTTGCGCTGTTATTCTCTTAACATTATAGGCCGCTCAGGCGCTTACTTTTAAACTAATTTAAAAATGCCGGTTTTTTAAGACAGGAGGTTGTTAAGTTCACCCAAACCAGTTTAACTATTTTGATGACGTCGGTTAAAGGTTAGAGTTAATAACGCATGGCCACATGTGGTCATTTTGCAATATAGATAACTTACTGCACGTGCCCAAAACTAGCCACAGCCGACGTTTTTAAAACCAACCCTTGCAGACTGCCAAGATAAACAAGCTTTCAGAAAAATCTTCTCGAAGACTGGTACCCCCCCCCCCCACACACACACACCTCACACTCACACACCCACACACACACACACACACACTCACACACCTCCCTATTACCTTTCCGTTCTGACGATAAAGTTAAACTCGTTAAAGGATCGCCAGGGTTTTGAGAGTAGAAGTAAAAAATAAATTGCATTGGGACTGAATTAATATATCAACATTAGACTATGATCAAAACGCATAGATATGGCACCCGTCACCTGGATCTATGAGAAGGCAGTATAACATGTTAGGCTTCCTCGTATTGTCAGTGCACGCAAACAAAACCCACAAGACAAACCAGCTGACACGACACATAAACCACACAGACATTGCAAGAAATAAACAATGAACGTATACGTATAATATATCAGATTAAAGGGATGTATCCGGGGTCAACAATAACCATCCAACGCGCTCGCGTACATCCTAGCTTCGACGTCTGCTACTGTCACACAATCAACATTTTATTTATTGACGTCAGACCGTGTAGAGTGTCAGCTAGTCTAGAAGAGATGATTGAAATCATATCTACCAACCTAAAATATTAGACAATGAATATGCATACAGTTACGAATTCCCTATTGTCATGTCTTGCAGTGATTCTACCATTAAGTAAGATTCACCGACAGACTGGTTTCCAACATGTTATTTTCCATGCACTATTGTGTATATTATTATAGCTGCATTAGATAAATAACCTATATTAAGGTTAGGGATTGTTGTGTTATAGACTTACCCAGCATTTTGTGAATCCCAGATCCATGTTTCTGGGAAAAAAGATCGCACAGGTGTATCAACATCTAATGTTTCTACTGCAAGCGGTGGAGCCTGTACAGCACTTTCCATTGACATTTCTGCCATCTGTGGCTCTGACATAGATAGAAGAGTTTATATATATAAAAAAATGTATTAACATGCATGAATGCGAGTATACCTTGAAAAGACAGTTATAGTGAATCGCAAGCTGTACATGCAAAATACCTGAATGAACTTTTCGTTCATCACTCATTTACTCTCTGTTTGACCATTTGACCGGCTCACAAAGCATTCTCAGACTTAAGTTCTCAACTTTCAATCACTGTGTATTAGAAACACAAAAAATTTCACATAGTTTCTTATAGATGTATTTGATACAATAAAACAACGAACATTTTATAAAGGGCTATACTTTAGTTAAAATAAGGCGAACAAATAAGTCTGAGAATGTTTTGTGACACCGGGGCTTATTGAATTTTGCATTCAATTATACTGAACATGGGTATGACAACATTACAAAGACAGCTGTTGGAAACGCATAAATGAAATTAATATCTAGTATGGAAACGTATATTATAATATGAATAAATTAGTTTTACATAAAATGAAATGGTGTTAAGGTCCTACTGTTCTGCTATACTGTGTGCTATAAGGGAAATTTTGCCTGGACAGCGGCACTATGGCCTATGTATACACGGGACCTCGGTTTTTCGTCCCATCCGAACGACTAGACAGTTGTACTTGTTAGACCCTCAGTCCTGCACCACTGACAAGGGGAAACCACGTCGGAAAATCCCGAGGAACTCTCTCGGCCAACACCGGGAGCGAACCCGCGACCTCCAGGCTGGCGAGTCAGCGTTTTACCCACTTAGCCACCGTGGCTCCTTTACATAAACACCATATTGGTCCAGATCAATACTAACGGAAATGATGACAATTTATAATAACATTCGCTACGACCAATACATAATCATAATTCAAAAGCATATTTTAACTAACATGAAGGCTACAGCCAACGTCTTGTTTCAACGTAAATTTGCGCAAAGAAAACGGGCCTCCCGGGTTATTGGGTCTTCAATAAAATATTTTATTATCTGATCGTTTGTCATTGTATTTCCAGCTGAAACTATCTGGAGGTAAAGGTCAAATAAAATTTAAAAAAAAAATTATCCACAAGAGCATCGGTTACACATCTGGTATCATTTTGTCATTTAATATGGAAATTTACATAGTTAATTATAGTATCGTCCACGTCAAAACTATTACTCCTTTTATCTATAAAGAAAACAAGATTGGTATTTCTTGAAACGAGAGAGAGAGAGAGAGAGAGAGTTTAACGTCCACTCGACACAAACTAGGTAATTTCGGGACTAACATATGGTTTTTTAATTTTATTTCAATAATTCGCTTGCGCGTAGGGGTCTTTAGCAGTGGGAGGAAAACGGAGTATCCGGAGAAAACCCACACGGTGGATAGGTGACCCTACTCTTTGTCACATACAACAGGGGAATCGAAACCACACCAGTTATCTCAATGACAGACCTTATGATACATTCGGCCACACAACCCCCTCCCGTATTAAAGAAACATTAAATACCGCGTCTGAGGTAATAGCTGGGATATAAACAAGTAGATCTAGGTGCTACATAGTTGTAAATGAAAGCATCGGTTACTACGTAAACTCCCGTATTCTGAAATATCAAAGAAAAATGTTATTACAGCATATTATTACAACATATTTATTATTACAGCATAGTGCGCCCTTTCATATAACATGTTCTGGGGCAAGATAACCTTCCTATCTAAGGCGAAGGAGGTCGTATTGAGTGCTTTGGTGATCTTCACCAGTCAATGATATTCTTTTTGTACAAATAAGATTATTGAAAAATTTGAGAAGAAATCTGACAATCCATGACTGGGATATAGATGATTTAATGTTTATTCTGATAATACACATGCCTTTTCATTTTTCTTTACATCGTGGCGCCTGATTTGCAGCAAAATGTACATCTTGGGAACATTGGACAGCGAAGGATATCTGATATTTGAGTGGAGGGAACGTTCACCCGAAATAGTATTTGCATTAGCGGACGCGGGATGTTGGGTGTGTGTAGGTAGGGATTGGGGGGGGGGGGCACCTCCATGAAAAGTATGAAAAATCGGGGTGTCAATGGTTATTGGTGCCGCGTATCCTGACTCGAATATAAAATTAAATTTCAACAGCTACATCATGCCAACCGACAAAAATTTCAAATGTAAGTAATAAGTTGATTATACTGTTATTCAAGGACCCGCCTCTGTTTTGCAAACTTGGTTAATTGTTACACTTACCCTAAACATATCCTCGGCATCAACACCAGATGTAAAGTAAGGATATGGCCAGTATATTGATAGTCGGCGATGACGACTCAATAGTTCGGCTTGCCTCTTCTTCCTAAGTTCAGCTGCTCGTTTCTTTCTGAACGCTATCATGGGTCTTTCAAAACCACCTCCACCACCACCGTAATAATATGGTGTATATCCTGTATCCAGTTGATTCAGGAAATCTTGAACCTTGTGAAAAGAAAGTTGACTTATAATTTAATAAATGCCCAGTCCTTATCGTTTTATAGTTCATGGTCATGCAATTTATTTCAGTCATAAGCATGGGAGGGGTGGGGTACCAGTTTTTTCCCCCCGGAAAATTTTGAAAATTGGACGACAGCCAACACGTTTTCCAGCCCAGAAAATCATTCTCTAGCTAACTCTGAACAATGAACATAGAAGACAGGGGCCCACACGACAGTAGAAACAGTAGGTATTTTAGAAATATGGTCGGATACTTTTTTTTCGGGTGGCTACGGTTGTGCTTGGGAACCATGCTACGTTTTCGAAACCATTGTTGACATTAGCGGAAGTCGGTCCACACACAACATTTTTTTTTACTTTACTTTAGTACTAATCAATTATAAAGCAAGATTTATGTTTAACACTTGTTGTCGCAAAATAAAAAAAATATTTAGAATATTACTTACATTGGAAATATGATCTTCAGCAGGCGCTCCCAGCAGAGTTGTACTTTTATCAACAGCCAGAGCATATACTTGTGAATATCTATAAGCATTGACTCCAAGGGTTACCTCTTCACCGGTCTCTACTTTGTCTTTATTGAAACTCAAGGAAACCTGCAAATGGTTATAACAAATACACGTCATTGAGATTTAGATAAAGAACTGACCGTTCTTGCTATACTAGTTCAAAAATAGATAATGAAAAATGAATATGTTGAAAATATCCTTCAAATTACTTCATTCTGAGCGAAGTTATGAGTGTTGGGAGATCTACCTAGATTGTTTATTATAGTAGCACTGTTACAGGGAGTTCTAATCCATTTAAATACCTGTCATCCGGTGGTCCGGGGAGTTGATTATGGGCTTGTCATGTTAATAAATGTCTCAATAATAGTTTATATATCATCCAAAGCCATAATAAAAGCTGAAGAAGGCAGATTTCGCTCTTATATAATGCATCTTTATTTTAATCCAATAAAAATATAATTCTTTTGATCGAACAGTATATCCAAATCTTGATTTTTTTTTTATCTATATTGAATAATTTGTACTTTAAGCTATTGATATTTTGTAAAGGAGGTATACCTTAATATCGATGTGTTGAGAAGCGATACCCAAGTTACCGTATCCCAATGTTTCACATCAAAATATTGAACAGTTTGAAAATCATGGCGTAATTTCCTCAAGGTTTCACGTAACTTGTTCAGCTTTATGAGTGACTTGATAATCGTGATGGTCAGTTAAACTTCGACAAGTATATAGACAAGGGTGTCCCATGATTTGCACAGCTTGCGATTTAAAGGTCTTAAAATATGTTACCGGCAATATGCACATAAAATATAAACAAGTAAATTATTTTACACTCAAATTTCTTCTGTGCACAAACATTCTGGATTGGTGTTCCATGCTGAGTGTCAAGTCCGGTATGAGCATCTCCGACATTATTTAGATAAAATTAATCTTAACATCCGCCTTGAATTTTAAATTCTGTTTATCTTGGATTTTCAACTATACATTATAGTCATCAAATGTCTTCTATTATTTTATAAAATACCTAGAACCTACCTTATTTCTGAAGAGTCCATCCACGTTAAATGATATAGCATCAGCGACGATTTCATCATTTTCACCTCGAATGAAGACAATTATTCTTAATTTGGGTGCCATATTGTATCGTACAGCAACTCTTAATTCTTGTTCTTTACTGGCTGATCTGTAGGACCGGTACCTATTAAATACCACCACACCCCTCGATAGGATCTTGAATGAACGAATAAAAGATTTATAATTTTTATTTGTTTCTGTATAGGACTTTCTCAGGTAAAATTTGTTCAACTGTTTTGACTATCTAGACATGTTTTTATCTGAAAGCGTGAGCAGTAAAATTCAAATTTAACGATTTCAGTTTTTTTTCAGCGCGTTATCGTGAATTTTGTGGTAACATGAGAGTTCCGTTAAAATTTGCAAATTGGTAACATATATATATTTCCTGATAGTTGGCGCAATTAATGATATATTTAGAAACATTGCACTTTCTAGCATTTCTTTTTGTTGCAATATGACCACAAAGAAGAAAGTGATTGGCATGATTTCTGAGAAGACACCCCTGTTAAGATATTTTAATATCCCACGGATAGCTTTACTCACCGTATAGTAAACCTTTTTAAACGAAGCAGTGGATTTTATATCAAAAAATATGTTGGAATTAGTTTTTGGTTTAGAAGTTCTCAGCGTCACTGATATAAAGGTTTTGCTGGGTGATCTTGTTACAGATAAACTTTGGGTTCTGGTAACTTGGGTATCACCGGTATATGTCGCCTAAAAGTACACAGTACACAGTAATAAAAGTTTAAACATTTAAACATTGCAATTTATTCACAAGTCATCTCTTTATGTTTATAACTTCGACAGAATTGGCTAATTGGCTATATGTCACTGGCTAAATTGATAAAATGTAATTGGCTGATTGATCCATTAATATCAAATCGATGACTAAACTGTCGTGTTCTGATCCTTAGTGAGTAAGGAGATGGTTCACTAGCCAGGGAGTCCGGGGTTCAATCCAAGTGTTGGCTAAAACAGTTCCCCTGGATTCTCCAGCGTGGTTTCCCCATATGAATAGTCTGGCATGGAACATGAGTTAGTCGTCCCCATGGGGCAAAAAATAAAACAAAAGAGGTTCTGTGTGCAACTTGGCGTGCACGTAAAAAAATCCCTTAACAGTTGGAATTAAATTGATGAAGGAATTAACGTCCAAATCAAAGTACCCTCAATGTGTACTTACCGTTAATGAGACGGTCAAAGCATTTAAATCAGTAACCAGCAGATCATACGGAACCAATCCATTACTTGGCACTTCCAGTATCTGTTCTTCAAGATTGCGATATTCATAACTTGGACCTCCGCAAATAGGATAGTATGGACGAGCAATAACTTCTTTCACTAGCATAGGCTCTTCGACTAATGCTCCGTTTGGGCTCGGAGTAGTAGTTGTCGTAGTGGTAGTGGTAGTTGTAGTCGTGGTTTTAGGGACTTCAAATTGGACTGTTCCAGTAACCTTAATAGTTTTAGGGTTGAGGACTGGTCGATCATCTTGTTGTTTCAAGTCGATCTATTTCATAAATACAGCAACAAAAATAAATGTTATTAAATATGTTTGGACATACTTAAAGATGGGTTCATTCGAACACAGTTAAGTCATTAAATCGGCCCACAAAATCGACCGGAGGCTCAGTGCGTATAGCAATGTCTATGTATATGTATAGCAATCGTTGTGAAACTAAATCAGAGAGATTTTGATTTGACAGTTTTTACGTACTTTTGAAACAAGTTTCGAAGTGTTTTGGTTTGGTTATGCAAGATCTATTTCGACGTTCTAAAGTAAATGTACGGTGCTAAGACCACCTAAAGATAAGTTTTAAATGTCCCTTTTATTAATTAGAACAGGTTTCGCTTTAGTTTTTATATTTTACGCTGATATTTTATTGCTTAAAATCTTCCTAGTGCAAAAACTGACAATTTGACCTTTTTGGTCTCCGAGGTCACAAAGAACGAAGGTGAATTTAGCAAGTTAACATTTTTATTGAAAGGCTGGTTACTTTCAATCATTTTCAGCATGTTTTCGTGATACAAGAATGGCTGCGCATTCACTTTCAGTGCAAATGACCTCATTTGACGTTTGACCCCGAATATCTCGAAAACGACCCAACGGCGGACTGATTACCACTCGGTATCGTATTCTACGCAAAATTTTACTCTAGAAAGGTTGAGTCTGGTTTTGTGCCCATTTGCTGGACACCCCTCCGCACTGAGCCCCCAGACTAGTATAACTGTACACCAAAATTACATAATCAGCCAACTCCACTTTTGACCTATTCATCATCTTTATGATGCTTACGGTGGATTGCAAATTAGACGAAAATAGTGAAGTATTTCGTAGGATACACTTTTTTCACAGCATGTAGATTTCTTCAAGTTAGAATATTATGTTTGTCAATCAAAAACTGGTCCAGACATTCAACGCCCCTAAATAACGCAGGCGTTTCTATTGTCAAGGCGTTCAATGATCGTAATGATCGAGAGAGATTCACCGAGCCAGGTCGTTTACGTATATCTTAAAAGTAAAAAAAAGAGAAAGACATGATGTTTAACTTCCACTCGACACAAACTAGGTCATTTCGCCACTAACATAATGTGGTTCAATTTTATTTCAATCTTTAGCAGTGGGAGAAACCCGGAGGAGGGAGCGATCCTTCTCATTGTCATGTAGGGCAGCCACGGTGGCTATGTGAGTTCGACGCTGGCTCGCTAGTCTGGAGGTCGCGGGTTCGCTTACGGTGTTGGCCGAGAAAGTTCATCTGGATTTTCCGGCATGGTTTCCTCCTGTCAGTGGTCAGGACGGGGGGCTTGACAAGGACAGAATCTAGTCGTTCGGATGGGACGAAAACACATAAAAGAATAAGAAATTTCCTTTATGCCGGTCTGGATTAGCCCAGTCGGAACAGAACTGTAACGCGTTAAACCCCACTTCATTTCATTTTCACTTCCATGTACAGACTGGGAATCGAAACCACACCACTTGACTCAATGATAGACTTTATGATTTCATGCGCACGCGTTAACCAACTAGACCCCCCCCCCCCCAAAGTAAAAAAAAAATGTACCATTTTAATGATTTCCTACTAATCACCGACAAGGGAGGTCCATAACTTATGAAATTATTAAATTTATCGCGTACGATACATCATGCTATGCAGGCCTTTGAGACTGATAATAACTAAATCCATGAATACCAAACAGACTTATACAAAAATATAGAAGAATTATCATTACATTATTTGTTTAAGACATAATGTAAGAAAAAATAGAAATAATGTAACCAACAAAACTTGTAACTGAATTATGATTAATCGATTTGATAATTTTTGGATGAAATATAGGTACTTCTGACTGTCTAAGTCTAAACTGGAATATGTTTATTTATATGTGACCTTTTCATAAAATAATATATTTATATGCGAATTTTCATAAAATAACAACTGAAATTTATTTATTTATATGTGAAATGGAAAATATAATATGTGTGCCCTTTTCATAAAATAAGAACTGGAATATATCTATTTATATGTGACATTTTCATTAAATAATGAGTGGAATATATAATATGCGACCTTTTCATAAAATATTTACTAGCTGTATATAACCATATATCAATAACTATAATACTTTCAAATCAATATATTGATTCATATTTCAAAAGACCCAACATTTAATAAGAATTAAGCAAAATCAATTACCAAATAACTCTGAAAGCAATCTGAATGGGGTAATACTGAACAATTAATCCGGTCTATAGGCAAAAATTATTTTTTTAAGTTATTTAAAAACCGCAATATCCCTGAGATTATTATACAGACTTTCAGATCATATATACAAAACATTTCTTAGACCCAAAACATTTCAAATTAGATCAATCCTATAGTATGCTATATATTAAGTCCAAATTACCTTTTCATTTCTCGCGGTCATTTTATTAGTCAACGCCTAAAGGATAATTCAGTTCTACCATTTTAAATAGACCTGAAAGCTGCATTTAAGCTAGAACATTTTTAGTCTTGTTAATCTAATCGTGTGAACATTTTCCATGCCTAATTTTTGTTATATAAGGAACATTTTTACTGGTCTTGGGACGAGTTTAATCAAATAACTGTACAGATTTTATAACATTTATTTTTGAAATGGTGACCTATGTTTTCAAATGAAGGATTTGTCTTTCAAAGGAAGGATTTTTCTTTCAAAGGAAGAATTTTTCCTTCAAAGGAAGGATGTTTCTTTCAAAGGAAGAATTTTTTTATCACATTTTCTTTCAAAGGAAAACATTTTGTTTTATCAAATGAAGAGATTTCTTTTTTTTTAATGGAAGACATATTTTTTTTATAAAAAATAATAAAGTTTCATACTTACAAAAAGATGATTTGTCAGACCAGGTTTGTAGTTTGTTGGATTCAGAGCAAAGCTAATTTTTTCTCGGGTGTTCTTCACGGATGTTTTGGAAGGCTTTGAGACATACATAATTCCTGTTTCACTATCTGTAACATTGGCTTGAGCTACAATAGTTTTATAGGATATACTGTTGTAGCTAGCGATAGTCGACAATTCCTTTAAAGTTATTCGAACATCAGCATCACCATTATCATTCAGCTGCAATGTAAAGATACTGTTTAAAATATTTCGGCTTCTTATAAGATATTGTTTTTAGAGGGTCTAACAGAATCGTGGTATATGGCATAATAATACCCCCAGTGAGCCGCACTGGCTTAGTGACGAAGACGTTGGCTCGCTAAGCAGGACGTTCCACGTTCGATCCTGGTATTGGCCGAGGCAGTTCAGTGGTGCAGCGAGGAGGGCCTGACAAGGGTCGACTTATATTAGAGATTAACGTCGATATAATAATCTGTAGAATAAACCTGAAACCAGGTCTAATTTCATATCAATAAATCGTTTGCACGTAGTAGTGTGTAGCAGATGATGGGTGGGTGGGTGGGCGGAGGACCCAAAGAAAATTTTCGAGGTTAGACAGAAGACATTACTCCTTGTCAAGTGCAAGTGCCGAATTGAAACTACGCCAGTTGACTCAATAACAGATCAATCAGCATCCAACTCCCTCATTATGTGTTTATATGTTCCTGATTCGATTTTGTTCTGAAAGTTAACACGACGAACTTTTACTTTATTAAAGAAACCCAGCTAACCCCAATAACACATTTCCTGAAAATAAATGTTCACGGTAAACGGTTGATTGAATGGATTGTGTAGAGTATCTTCTGGAGGCGCCCATCCCCCTTCGCCCCATGGTTGAATACGTTACTATCTGGACCAATACAGTACGTAATGGTCTGGGTCCAAAGTTTACGCCAATCCACGACATCATTGATGTTTCATTATTACTTCAATCGCCATCTTGCTCCTTTTATTACAGTTACTGAAGTTTCGACCGCATTCTCCACACAGAGAACTATCAGTTTCACATTTTTCTTATACACAAGGGCTAAATAAACATTTTCAATTTCATTAAATGTAATCAGAATAAATAAGTCTTAAAATTCTAGACGTTGAAATTTAAATATTGGTCTAATTTCGTATCTGATCTCAAGCAGAGCTAATTGCAATCAGCGTAACTTTCGTATGCTTCGACCTAAAATATATTAAAACCACGGAGACATCTCCACTTTATGCCAGCAGCCATCGCTACCTTCGTTTCTGGAAGTTTTTTTCTTCCTTTAATGGACCATCATTGTTTTTCGATGGACCAACAAATAGCATTAAGTTGCAAAATGAACTAATTATTATTTACTTACCTGCAAATCATACATAAGTTCAGGTTGTTTGCTGATCTGCACTTCATATTTTCCTGTTTCTGGATTTCGTACATATTTTCTTGTATTGTAATAGTCCACCGTTACTCGCAATACTACAGATCCTCTCACAGGCTTTCCGAATGTGTACCTGTAAACATAGCCAAAATTTGGGTTATGCTTGGAGTAGCAAGCATTGGTTGCCTCGGAAACAAGTTCACGGCAGCGAAGCTAACAAGGAAAGCGTGTCTCGTAGTATGGATAGTAAGAAAACCGAGGTTTGAATTCGAAGAGTGGAAATCTGTTTGCTAAATTAAGGTAACACAGATGAAGATTATATAGACGGCGTGTTATCTACATCTAATGCATGAAGCTAAAATACGAGATACCCAAAAGACGTTTTAATTAATTTCTTTTATACACAGTGAGTCTATTGCATACTTACATTGATGAAACTTTAACAATGACTTCTTCATCTTTTTCAGCAACAAATGAGGGAAGTGAAACTTTGGCTTCAGCCTTAGGTAAAACTGTCAACAAAATAGAAATCTTTAAACGGACCAGAAATAAAAATCCATGTACGTATGAAATTTAAAGCCAAAATATAGAGGAATGGTGTATTTACCTTGTCTCGAAATTTCAGCTCAAAATATTGAGTCGTTTGGGCGTGAACGTCAAAACCGCTTATCCGGACACGTAACCCTTTTAAGATTTCGCGTCAATTTTTTCGTTGGGTGACATGATAATCTATTGCTGTTCCTTTAGAGGTTTATACAATGCATGACCCACGTGCTGTTCTTGATAACGAAAGGTAAATTTCACCTGCACGTTATTTTTATAAAATAAAAGTGTGGTTCTATCCGGACACACTGTATATTACAGCTTGGGACACCAGTTTCCATTTTCAGATGAAGACTGACGGGTTTAAGTATGGTCAGGTACAAAACTCGGAGAGGGGAAAAGTCGGAAAATTATCAAAAATATTATTTTTTTTAAATTGGCGGAAGTAGTTGTAGTTATACATCTATTTAATAAGTTGAACATAATCTGTAACTTTTCAGTTATATTTTAACCAAAATAATGCAATATGGCAGTTATAATCGAATATCCGAGTTTTCCGAGTTTTGTATTTTGGCCTATACGAAAACACAAAACTGGGAAAACTCGGAAAGTGGTCAAAAAAGTTAATATTCCTGGCTCATTAAGTCGCATCGATGTCATCCTTATCAGTGATTGTATCGGCCTAGCGAAAATTCACTGCTGATCAGTGTGACACAACTCCCCTAGCAATGATCTCTGTGTTAAAATTATATTTGGGATGTATTTAACGAGCTCTATCACATATTTTATAATGACTGACACCAATATTGTCCTTTAATTATCAAATAATATAACTGATTAGCAAAAAATACTGATTAGCAAAAAATACTGATTAGCAAAAAATACTGAATTTCAAATACTCAATTCTAAAATATTAATATCTGAATATCTACATGAAGTTATATTTTACTGAATAAAAGACATAACTTATAAGACAAAATGTGACGATTAATATAACCTACGCTTGTGTGTAAATCGTCCATTCTTCAATTATATGAATGACTTGATAATTGCGACGATCCCCGAATACTATAACTTCGGCAAATATGTAAAACCTTATTATGACGACGGAAGAAGATGCCTCGCACTCTCTTCTCACGTCATTGAACTATAACAGCGTATTTTTAAAGTGACCTTTTTGTGTCCATACAAGAACTTTGTTTTACTTTTTTTTGTAATTATTCCTTCATATTTAAATAATCTTAATTAAATCGAACTGTCCATAATATCATGTATTTATATGTATTATATCGGATGTTAAAATTTGTAATAAACAACAACATAAATACAAGTTAATAATTAATCAAGTTTTATTGTTTTAACATATCTTGGATTTCACCTTTAACGCGAAACACGCTTAAGAGATATTTTAGCTAGTCCTGCGCAACTGCCAAAAGCTGTGTAATACCTTTTCGATGAAGTCCCCAATTTCCTACTCTCTATCATTCAGAAAATAATATTCTAAGTTGAAGACTAGGAGGTTCTGGGTAACCGAGATTACCAATTTCCACCTTATACAAATTCCTGGATAACCGTGTCTATATATATTTACCAATCGTTGCAATTATCAAAAAAGTTATTCCGGAAGTGTTCCACATGACGCCAAAATATGAAATGAAATGGGGATTATCGTCCTACTGTTAAGGGCCGACTAGGTTAAAGAGGACGGACGTGTCACATAACGCTATACATGAATCTAGCGATCATTAAATGCGAACGGCTCGATATTTTATTTGAAAGTGTCAGAGAAGGTAATTGGGCAATTTCTTCTCTTTTTTTCTCTTTTGATTTGCACACACTTAACCCCACTTTATCGACGGCGAGGCGGGCGAGCATAAGACATCTGGGACGACTTCTTCAAAACTAAGATTTTAAAATAACCTAGTTATACATGTGTACCTGACTTTAAGTGAAATACTTACCGTATTTTTCAATGGTGAAGGTTACTGTGTGTTTGGTACCCTGAGAAAATCAAAAGAGTTCATTATTTTGTATCTTAATTGGAGAATGACATCGTTGTCTCAATAACGAAACTGGAATCCTCAATTTCTAAACTTTTATACATTAGGAATAATTTTTTATAATTAAAGACTATAAAGAATTCTAATCATTAATTTTAAAATTTGATATGTTATAGTTAAAAGAGAGAGATCGAGGAATGGGGTTTAGTGCCCACTCGGCACAAACTAGGTCAATTTTATGGTTTAATTTTATAGCAATAATTCTCTTGCGCGTAGGGTCTTTAGCCGTGGGAGGAAACCGGAGGAGGTTGGATAGGCGTCCCTTCTCATTGTCATGTACAAGCTGGGAATCGAATCCACGCCACTTGACTCAATGACAGATCTTATGATTTCACGTGCACCCAACCCCCACAAGTAAAACAAAATATGTACTATTCTAATCGTTTCGTACTAATCCCACGAGGCGATTCTACTCCTTCTCACGTACAGGAGAAATTGAAATCACACCACTTGACCCAGTGACAGACCTTATCATCCAACCATTCCCCCCCGCCCCCAACTGCTAGAACAAAGGTTAAATATACCGTCCATGGCAGTAAACAATCACAAGTTTTTTTGTAAAAAAATATTTTATCCAAATATCAATCAGATCATTCAATTCAATTCTAATTTAAATTATTGCCATTTAAAGTTTGGAATGGCTTCTGTGTGTTTCACTAGTTTCAGATTTGAGTTTTAATATGGATTTTTCCCTTAAAGAGACATTATCGTTCTCTCCAAGAAAATCAGTGTAATCAATTTTGAATAGAATTTCAAGAATAAACCAAGATTCACTTATCCAAGCAAAGGCCTAGTTACAGTACAGAATTATAAACCTCAATTTTAAGTCTTTTTTTCAGAAACATGTACAAAATGAACCAAAAAGGTTGATTGAAAAAAAATTGTATGTAGACTGAATTGAAACCTACACTGGTAGGCTGAATTGAAACCTACACTGACAACTACGCTTATAGACCAGGTTCCGAAGATGGGTTCACTTGATAGCTGAAGGGAATGTTCGACAACACCATACCCATCCCCTTCTTTGTTGTAATATTGAATCTTATTTCGTCGTGGATCCTGTGTAATAAAAATAAAGTACACATTTAAGAAATCCTTATGACTAATCAAATAAAAAGAGTCCATGATATGGAATATGGAATTTTCTAAATGGAGAAACTATCAAAGTGGTGTCAGTTATCACAACTATAAAATCAGATAAATAGGACAAATAGGACAAATGAATTACTAAAAAAAAGTGGCACAAAAATTTGTTCTAAATGGTAAGCATATGCAATCTAGGGTATGACATACGTCATTGCCTATGTTTTAGTAGATGAATAGGGTCTGATATGCTTTTAGAAACAGAAACTACTGTGCAGAATTATTTCAATGACATTTACTGATTGAACTGGAATATACAAGTCACAATTCTATGGAATAAGCAGTATTGTATTCCATAGAATAATGACGTATGGCTAGAAACCACAGGAAACAGGAGATTATTTCTTTACAAAGACTGTAATACCGCCTTAATAAATGTCTCGTTTGATTATTTAAAAAAAAATGATTCTGTAAATTTAACATTGACTTTAATACTTACTGGATAGGATGAATATATAAGTAAATGCGAATGCTTACCGTAACTGTTACTTCAAAACTGCCCCGTTCAGGGGTAAGGTTGGGCTTTACACCAAAAATACGGTATTTCACTTAAATAAAAATGTTTTAGACATTACAATAATGTTTAAATATTTCCAAGTAACATTTAATATTAGCAAAGTTACACATATATAAACAAAGGCTTAGAAAAAAATAAACCAATTCTGCCTGTATTTAAAATATAAAACAGTTATATTCGGTGATAAAGTTAAAGATGGATGGGAAAAATATAAATGTCTTTTTGTTTTCTCTGTTAAACGGCCCCCATATAGTAAGGGTTTTGATATCCCTGTCTCTCATTTTGATCTGGAAACTGAAACTAATTTTAGGGGATTCTAGCGCTAAATATTTCGATTTGTCCTTTGAGGGGGTAGCGATCAGATGCTGGTTTCTAGAATTGGGTTGCAACCAACAACAGGTTGGGAACCACTGCAATAATATATTGTATTTTCTTTCTATTGTATTGCATAAAGCATGAACATATTATTGTTTAAGGCTTAAGTAAAAAAAAAAAGAAAGTAATGTTGATTTTCGTGACGAATAAAGGGTCCGGAAAGCGAATCAGTGACTCCAATTACTAAACGCATCGAATAATGATCCATTGTTTCAAATGTAAGAAATGTGTGTTTTATCTGAACACAAGATCTTACCGTCCGCTCATTGAATATGACCAAATGCCCTGGAGGATTTTCATTCAAGAAAACATTAAATTTCAAATACGAAAGCAGAGAAAGTGAGAGGTGACGTCGCCAAGATGTATTTTGAAGGGAATTGATAATGATATTTACCTATTTGCCCAGGTTTATAAACCTTTTTATCTGTTTGTATTACAATCTCCAAATTATTGCTATTAAAGGTAACATAATTCGTCTTTTCAAATTCTACGCCACCAGTTCCCACAACTTTAATGCTGTAAAATGATTGTACTAAATCGCACGGAATCTGAATAGAAATAAAATTGAGTTTAACGTCGTATACGCCACGCAGTCTGCTATGATTGAAACTTTGTCTGGACAGCTTCGATCCTGAATTGGAGGAACACGGGGCAATGGCTGTATGCCAGCGCTATTTTGTTATAATCTGCTCTCTTCATTTCAATAACACGTTTTGGCTTTGTATACCCATCAGATTAGGAGTGAATATCATACCCTGTCTCGAGCATGATATCGGTCAGTGCTTGAGCAAGATATCAGTAGTCACAAGCACTGGCTAGAAGATTGCTTATGGACACTAGCAGATTCATTAACGCAAGAAATCTTGCGTAATGTACATAATATATAAAAGGTGTCTATAAATAATATTACATGCAGTTTCCCGATTATCATAGGATTACTTATTAATTTCCTTTATATTATAATGGTGTGTTCCCACTTAGCCGGCAGACTGTTAATCCTTTGATTGATCTTAAAACTATAGTCTGTTTAAAAGTAGTCACTCAAGAACTGTTCACTAGTGTTCAGCGTTAATGAGCTCTTAATCCCTCTTAATAAAATTTATTAACCAACTTATTAATGACATTTTGAACATAGTTCATGTCGGCGTTATGATTTCAAACATGAATTCAATTCACTATATTAATATAAATAGATGGTCGATCTGTAAAATGATTGTTATGTTGTAAGGCATTTATTTATAAATTATATAATGCTATTTAATAAAAGTTAAATGTGTAAATTGTAATGCATTTTTATATGTGTAAATCATTTAATGTTATTTAATAAATATTAAATTTGTTAAAATCAATATATTTTTATATGTGTAAGCTATTTAATGTTATTTAATAAAAGTTAAATTTGTTAAAATCAATATAGTTTTAGTCGTAAAAAAGATATGGACTATAGTTTATAACACCATTGTTCTAGGATTAACTCTGGATTAGCGGCAAAATTTGACATCAAAGCCTGCCGGCTAAGTGGGAACACCCCATTATAATTGACCCCTCTATTAATTACATTAATGTATACACTGAATAGCCATAGTCCTAATAATATACATCCTTGTAGCACACCATACCTTTTACACACTAAAAATAGAATAGCTACTAACCTTCAAATTAATCGTTCGGGTTGTACCTATAGCAAACAATTGAAATGAATTAAGATGCTAATAACGTTTGAATAAATGTTTTTGTTGTTTACCTTTAAAACAAAATGATTGAATGAATTTAATTTACACATTCAAGAAACATGCGTAAACATATTATATAAATTATTTTCGTCATATCCATATTAATAAAAACTTACGTATCAACGTTGGGCCGTACTCTGCGAATACCGTCCCTGCTCTATTCACTAATGTAGTTGTAAGGTTGTAATGCTGACTTCCTAGAACTTGTGCCGTGAAGGTATAATCAACACATGGGCGAATAGTTTTAGGTAAAAGCACCATATATGTTCCCTGTTCTGCACATCTGAGAAAATAGTAATGAAAATAGTTTGGCGGTACATCATGGTACAAAAGGTTCGTGGCAATGGCTCTTTCACTGTTCCCATTTCATAATACACTATGCCGAATTTCTTCATTATTATTTTTAAAGTTGCTACCTCTTTTTTTTATCAATACGTGTACTGACAAAGCATTGCGGAGAATCTTTGGGTTTTTTTTTGCCACAATGGAAATAACAATCACAAAAAAACCCCCAAAAAACCAAAAAAAACCAACAAAACAAAACCAAGATGTTATACATCGTTATAATACGAGTATGAATATATGAACGTTTTAAAACGTTTTAACTGTGTTAGCTTATCAAATAAAACTCATTCAAATATACTTACAGACAATAGCTTAGCGCAGAGGCTAAGATTGAAAGAAAAACTTTCCAATTACTCGCCATTCTGAAATTTGAAAAATAAAATCATCGAACATACTTATTATTCGATACCGCCTTATTGCGGTCTTTATGAACACAAATGTCATCGCTAAGAAACGTTTTAAAGCTATGTACAAGAGTAGATATAATAAAATGAAAAAGAAAATCGGTAGAGTAAGTTATTTTACTGCAGTAAACATATATCTGACTTGAAATTGTATAGAAGTGTGTTATGATCAAAATTTTGCTTGGACAGTTGCGCTACGGCATACACTTATATCGAATTCCAACTGTCAAGGGATCTGTTTACCAGGCCCTCTGTCCTGCACCGCTGACAAGAGGGTACCAAACCGGAAAATCACGATGATCTTTCTCATCGAACACGGAAACCCCAGGTTAGCGAGGCAACGTCTTACTCACTGAGACACCGTGTTAAAAAATTGTATAGAATATCTTCAGGAATGGTGCTCAGAATTTGGTGGTATTTAATAACTTCACGTGGGAATAACTATTCATATCACAATTATAATAAGCATAGGTAATAAATCAAATGTACAATTATCGATATTGATATCAATGTCAAAAACAGCTGCACCTTTTTAGTGCCATGTGTTTATTTACTCGAGTTGCAATGATTCAAATAGGATTAAATAAATCAAATACTTTAAAGGAGCTAAGTCTCCAACTTAATATTTTCCATAATATTCGAAATTAAAAACACGAATAAGAATTAAATATTGATGAATTTCAATCAATATTGATGTTGTTATCTTGCCGTGAAACTATAGGATCCTAATATCCAATATTTAAGACATATTAACATTTTATAATCAGCACAAGAGTCGTGTAACCTGTGGTTTCGGGTGCCATTTTGTAATGAATAAATAAAAACATATCCTACAACACAATGTGGAAGTAAAAGGCTGATTCACAAACGACAAAATAATAATTTTAAATTACGTGTAGAGTGCACTAAGCAGGCGTAAACGACTGCCATTCAATTTGAACTGTTCGCGTATTTCACCGAACATAATTGATTAGAAATTACAATATTTTTTTCAAAAATTGAATATACATCACATTACATACATTCATATTACATTAATATGCGCTTTTAGAACCATTTTTATACGCCCACATTTTCACGTGGACGTATATTGTCGTCGCCCCTGTCCGTCCGTCCGTCCACAATTGTTTGTGAACAGTCTATAGGTCACAATTTTTATCCGATTTCAATGAAACTTGAAATATAGGTTTATCACCCTAAGATCTCGGTTCATTTCGATACTGGCATGTATAGGACTGTAACTTCATGGATTATGGCCCATGATTGTACGAAAAATCACGTTTTTAGCTTGTGAACATTGTAGAGGTCACAATGTTTATCCTATTTAGTTTAAACTTAAAATGTATGATTATAACCCAAAGATCTCGGTTCCTTTCGATATTCGCGCATATCGGAACATAACTTCCTGAATTATGGCCCCTGATTGAACGAAAAATCGCGTTTTTAGCTTGTGGACCCTATAGAGGTCATAATTTTTATCCGATTTAAAAAACCGTATTATTATATCACCGTTAAACCCTTAGGACGGCTGAGTTCGAATTTCGTGAAAATCGGCCCAAAATTGACAGACAAAATGGCCGCCGTTCGTTCTCAAATAGCGTAAAAATATGGTATATCACGGTTGTGGACCCTATAGAGGTCACAATTTTTATCCGATTTTGTTGAAACTTGAAATGTAAGTTTATAACCCAAAGATCTCGGTTCCTTTCGATATTCGCGCATATCGGACCGTACCTTCCTGAATTATGGCCCCTGATTGGACGAAAAATTGCGTTTTTAGCTTGTGGACCCTATAGAGGTCATAATTTTTATCCGATTTAAAAAAACGTATTATTTTATCCCCGTTACACCCTATGGACGGCTGAGTTCATATTTCGTGAAAATCGGCCCAAAATTGACAGACAAAATGGCCGCCCTTCGTTCTCAAATAGCGTAGAAATATGGTATATCAAGGTTGTGGACCCTATAGAGGTCACAATTTTTATCCGATTTTGTTGAAACTTGAAATGTAAGTTTATAACCCAAAGATCGGACCGTAACTTCCTGAATTATGGCCCCTGATTGTACGAAAAATTGCGTTTTTAGCTTGTGGACCCTATAGAGGTCATAATTTTGATCTGATTTAAAAAAACGTATTATTATATCACCGTTACACCCTAAGGGCGGCTGAGTTCGAATTTCGTGAAAATCGGCCCAAAACTGACAGACAAAATGGCCGCCCCTCATTCTCAAATAGCGTAAAATATGGTATATCAAGGTTGTGGACCATATAGAGGTCACAATTTTGTTGAAACTTGAAATGTATGTTTATAACCCAAAGATCCTGGTTCCTTTCGATATTTGCGCATATCGGAACGTAACTTCCTGAATTATGGCCCTTGATTGTACGAAAAATTGCGATTTTAGCTTGTGGACCCCATAGAGGTCATAATTTTTATCCGATTTAAAAAAACGTATTAGTGTATCACCGTTACACCCTAAGGACAGCTGAGTTCAAATTTCGTGAAAAACGGCCCAAAACTGACAGACAAAATGGCCGGCCTTCGTTCTTAAATAGCGTAAAAAATATGGTATATCAAGGTTTAGGACCCTATAGAGGTCACAATTTGTATCCGATTTTGTTGAAACTTGAAATGTACTATTATGACCCAAAGATCTCGGTTCATTTCGATATTCACGCATATCGGACAGTAACTTCCTGAATTATGGCCCCTGATTGTACGAAAAATCACTTTCTTTTTAGCTTGTTCTCTATCCATCTCTCGAAAATGTGGGCGTATCCTGCCTGGCAGCCGCTGGTTGTATATCTAAAGGTTCCAAAAAATAGGGTCATATGCCCTTTAATACAGAAATTGCCATTCCTACAAAATGAGTTACCCCGCATTATGAACAGTATTTTGGGTCTTGTTGTCATATATGGTTTCGCCCAAATTGTGTATTCACACATCGGTAGGGCGAAATCCGTCGTTTCTTCGATGAACGTCTGTATTTCCCTGTACATTTTGTATAATTGTATAAGCTTCTTAAAGTTTAGGGAATACTCTTCGAAACCTCGCCCAAATACATCAGTAGCTGTTTTCCATGAGGTTTTGTCTTATAGCTGTGTTAGCAATTGAGAGCCACGGTGGCTCAGTGGGAAGGACAGGTGCGAGTTTTCTAGGGGCCATGTACAGAGCGGATCTAGAAGCTGGGAATGAATGTCAACAATGAATGTCAACAAAATACTGGCTAAAACATTAAGCGTCCCATTAGAACATAGACAGTATTGTATAATTATATAGTTGTTCGCCGATCGTTTTCTCGCCGGAAAGCAGTTTTATTTAAGTTGACATAAAGTTTATGTCATATATGATGATTGTGCAACCTGATATAACACTGAGCAACCTGAGAAAATTTTGAAAAATTAAGTCAATATCTTAGCATTTGAGGTCATTGCTGGGAGAAAGTCTTGAGGACGAGAGGACCAAAAAATGTGAGCCAATGGGACAGAATCTCGAGATCTGCCCCTGTCAATTCCGCCTGTTTCACAAGAGTTGACATATATTTGTATAGTCTGACGCCCCACGACCCACACACCAGTATAACGGGGAGGTCACTATAATCGTGAATATGATAGTGATGAGACAGTATAAGAAAAAGAGGAATAGAAGAATAATGTTATAACGGAATCGAGCGCCGCAGGCGCGAAAAAAATTCAGATATGTAACCGAGCTTTTAATTTTTCGGAACTGGGCCTGAAAATTTTAGTCCTTGTCATGGAAAATGGAACCAAATTCTCGCTAACAAGAGGATAAGAAATTAGACAGAATCTGTGGCCTATCTGTCAGTTTCGCCTGTTTTGTAATTGTTTGTTTGTCTCATTAATTCATTTAGTCTGAGACCGACTGCCGTGAGTACTTTTTTTGAGACCGACTATTTTTTTGCCATGAGGGAAAAACATTTCATAGAACAACATACTCACAACAGAATAAGAGTGACAAACATTTTTTCAAACATGACAAGCAGACATGGTTATTTTATACTATAGTATACTATAGTTTGACGTATGCAATTTAGGCTCACGGATTCACACAAATACATGGGATCTATTCTGGCATTGTTTGTTTACCTCATTAATGCATAATTTTGAGACCGACTGCAGTGACTGCACTTATTTTGAGACCGACTATTTTTCTCCCTGGGGGAAATTTTGTTCATAGACAAACATACTCACAACAGAATAAGAGTGAAACACAACATTTTTTCAAACATGATAAGTTGACAAGGTTATTTTATACTAAAGTTTTGCGTGAGTAGCGTGACATATGCAGTGAGCACTTATTTTGATACCGACTGCTCTTATTTCGCGACCGACTGCACTGATTTTGCGACCGACATTTACGCCCCTGAGTATAGGAAGTTAAACCCCATTTCATTTCGTTTTATAAATTGGTGAGCCTGTTAGAGACATCATTTCCATTACAATTTCAGCAAAATGTACTCGTTCCAGTATACCGAAATGTACTTGAACTTTTATGACAGCTGTGCTTTTGAATAAATCAAATCCCAGAATAAATAGCTCAATTTACAAAAATGCAATACATTAAGCGCAATATGGTTCTTAATCGAGATAACTTGGCTTTATTTCCGTGATTTACGGAGCATGTGGTATTGAATATTAACATTAAAGAAGAAAAAACTCCAGAAACTGTTATTTATTTCCGTGATTTACGGAGCATGTGGTATTGAATATTAACATTAAAGAAGAAAAAACTCCAGAAACTGTTATTGATTTACGGGCTGTTTATCACAAGAATTTTATTTGAAGCATTGTAATGCGTTTTCAAATAAAACTCGAAACTGTTTTTCGCGAGACGTTTTAATGCAAGGAGTGTAAATGCATAATTATATCATACATCCTTAATACGCTTACGAATAATATCCGAAACACGTATCAATAATTTCGTTTTTAAACTTTTTTAAAGCAAGGCACGTTATCTTTACTTTTCCAAATCGAATTTTAAACAATTTAAAATATATCAAATTATTTCTTAAGAAATAAATTTTCTTTTCTTGGGTGTTTTTTTATGATTTTAATATTTCAAACCATTCTTATCTTTTACATCTATTCTGAAATGTCGGGAACTTTGTAAGAAATCTCTTTATTTTAAATTAAGAGATTAAAACAGACTTTCAGATACACACCAATTTGATTAATTTTCAGTTCAGTTGTCGGGAACACCAGTTAAAAAACTACTTGTTATTTCTTTTGGATAAAGACTTATTTAAAACCCTGCGCTGTTCAATAACAAATTTCCCTCATAGCAAACTGTATTGCGTATGCCGTCTTCATTAGCCCAGTCGATACAGAAAAATAATGTTTAACCCCAGTTCATTTCATTAACCCAGTCGGCACAGAAAAAATAGGGCGTTAAAACCCTATTCATTGCATCGCAAAGGCTATTTCAAAATGACAACTAAATATTCTCGCATTAAATATCTTCTTAAATAATTTGATTAAATAGCATTACAAAAATCAGAAAAATTGCAAAACAACATCTAAAAGTGCGCATTTTACACAGAATTGCTTACCTGTAGTTGTTGAACGGGTGGCCCGTGCCAATGATCAAAATCGCTCAAATCGCACAACTTTATAAATATTTTACACAATAAAGCGTGTCACTTCTGTCAATGGACAATCAATTTACTGCTTATAAATCTTACAATTTACAATTCAATAAAATTGTTTACCACAGACTGAGCAGTCAATATTTTTCGGGATTGTTATATAAATTCGTGGAATTTATAGTCAACACGAGCGTGTGATATTCTTTGTTAGTAGAGGTGCGGTTGGGTCTATTATAATCTCAACTACGTTCCTTTCGGTTGTTGTAAACACCCCTAAACCGGGTCACTTTCCATTCCCATAGGCAAATATTCGGTCAAGAATAAAAAAAGGGTAATGTTATGGTGGCTTAAACCTAGCTCACAACCCACCGTATATGTTTGGTAGCTCGCGGACCAGCCGCAAGAAATCGGGTAAAAATTCTGTATATGCAGCATCAAAACTCTCTACAGCCAGGCTGTAACAGACGCGTAAGTCCCACAGGTTTACTCAAATTTTCCCCCGAAGGCTGCCCGTAGTGTTGTTTGTGGGGTAGGCTTTTAGGCACACTCTTGGTGGGATAGAGTCAAACTGATCAGCAGTAAATAATTCGTTTGGCGGCTACTATCACTGAGAAGGTGACATCGGGGCAAGTTACTTAGCGCTCAATATTATCTTTTTTTTTCTTCTGCAATGTATATTTCCTATTTAGTGTAAATGGGCACATAAAATAGTACATAAAGGCGTAAAATGAGTAAAAGGCACCAATTCTGCCCGGACTCCTTGTTGTAGGTACATTGCCAATTTGTTTTCTTGAAATCGGTTCTCCTTCTATCCGAACGAATAGACACTTTAATTTTCAGTCTCGTCGTGCCATTGCTGTTAAATGAACGCCAGGCTTAAAATTCCTGACGCCTGATTGTGAAACCTAATTAACACAGACCGTAGCCACCGTGGATACTGTAGCATTGAATGTGCCCTAGGCCCGGCAATATGGCATTTTCTTTGGACCCAAAACTACCGCTCGAAAATTAAACGCTTTTGCAACAGACGATGATTTGGGTCAGGAATTTGGATGTTTCCAATATTCGCCTAACTATCTTTAAATGCATTCAAGTAAAATCTTCAAGGTTCCACGTTTAAAATTATCACAAAATATTTCTAAGATGGCGGCCCCCATGAACGATGAGTTTTGGTCGGGACGCTGACAACTTTTCAAAGTTTTGAATTGAATTAGTTGAATATGTGTTATTACATAGAGAGCACCGAAACTACGCAGATTTTCTGGGTGTCGACGCCATTTTACTTTGGTTTATGTGATTCCGAAGTATGTCTTGGGTAGAAAAAGTAGTGCTTTGACCTCACGACTTGTGATGTTTTGATCACGTGGTAGGGGTAATATGGCTACTGACTGTGTCAGAGTCACTTCTATGCACGGTCGGCAAACCTCGGCAGATTCCGGTATCCTACATCATAGAATCTGCCGAGGTTTGCCGAATTGTTCTATGCAGTTAAAGTGGTTCCTTTGTTCAGATTAACTCCAAGCCTTGATTATTTGCCAATGACATTTTCAAAAAACATATAGGATTCATTGCTCCTCGCCTGCACCCTCACTATGCAGCCACCTGTTCCCCGTCTTTATGATTAATCTAAGTAAAAGCTGCGACAATAACTGGTTGACGTATTTAAAGGTTCAACCATTGGTGATTAGTTGAAATGGTAGACAGGTATATACAGCGAAATGTCATCGCAAATATTAACGGACATGTTTTTAAAGCCATATTCCTTTGTTGTCAGTCTGCTACCTTTCAGTAGATGACAAAATCGGAAACGATATAGCAGCACCTGCTACCGACAACAGGGTCTAGATGAATTAGAGGTGAGAGTAAAAATAGAGTATTAATAAATAAACGAAATGACACGGAGTTTAACGTCCTACTTTTATGCCACAACCGGATCATGAAAACGGCGCTACGCCCTACTCTTATTTCCAAGACTGCCAACAGCGCATTTACGTACACGCAAATTGTTTTTAAGGAAAATGAAAATGGCGATAATAATACACTACAGGGCTGAATAAATCAGACCACCAATTTAATTGTATGAATTATTTTTTTATTAATCATTCCGGTTTATGCAGCCCAATATGAGATAGTAATTTATCAAAATGTTCTGAACAATCTCAATCCGGATATAAAAGGTTGATTCCGGTGACAAATAACATGTCCATAAGAATGGGAAGACAAAGAACAGACCGGGAGCAGCAACTAGATCGATATAACCCAAATCTGTAACCACCTTAGCTACCAAATTATTCAGTAGCTTATAAGAAGAAAAAAGGGAACTCATATAAAGCACGTCGTGTTTTGGTAGGGCAGTTTGCCCTGTACTGATAAACTTCAGTCTAAGAATGTTGAATTGGAGAAATGTTCTCGTTGTCACGACTTATGAGTCATGGCTTAAGAATGAAATGAAAGAGGTTGACGTCGCACTTTTTTTTGTACAAACCGGGTTAATACGAGAGACATTTATACGTGTGCCATGGTGAAAACTGTGCCCGGTCAGCGGCGTTACGGTCTGCTTTTATTTCGATGTCCAACTGCCAGGGGATCTTTAATGCGCTATCAGTTAATACACTAAACCTCCGTTTTTCATTTTTATTCTCGTGCCTTCCTTCCACCCTGTAGCACCGACAAAGTAAAACCAGATGGATCCCTGGACCTCCCGAACCCCTGGTTATAGTGAGTCAGCGGATATTTTTTTCTAACAAGTTAATTCGTCTCTTAAATGGTTAGCTTATAAATATTTTAATATACCAATAACATCTGTACCGTCGGATGCAACGGTCGCATCCGATCAACTCATCAGACAAATGGTCAGATGGACAGGACCAGTTCTATTCTCATCCGACCAACTGATGCAATAGCCAATAGCCAATCAAATTGCGTTATATTAGACACCGCCATATGGTGTATGACGTCGCATCTGACGTTGTAACCTGAATTCCTGATTAAAGATGTTTTGTACTGTCGTTTCGAGTACTTTGGCATCATGTAAAATGGATTCAAACCAATAAACGATTGAATTAGAATATCTAATAACTTTGTTTACGGACTTTGTGGACCCTGCGGCATCAAAATTATACGAAGACTGGGATGAGAAGTGTCGCCGCAATGCCAGTTTAGTGAGTTACTAAGAAGGAACAAAATGTTGCCATACAACGAATAGAACCATTGTATCGTGTAAACAGTCGTCCAATATGTTGCATTCGACGGTTGTATGGATCGTGTAAACGCCGTTTTATGCTGGCAAATTGATTAACCTTTGTTGGAGCTGCTAAATCTGTGGCTAGTTGACGTAAAAGTTGACGACCACAGTTTAACATAATGGACAGATCAATAGATATTATAAAGGGAAAAAATATAAGCGAAAGTAAAATGTAATAGACCTATTTATTATAATAGGTTATCCAGTCAATATATTCTTACAGTGCAACAAACAAACCATAATCTGTATCCTGTTCTTTGTATAGTTTGGTTATACTCCATTTTGTATCTTTACAAAGATCCGCTATAGGTTAAGTGTGACCTCTTTGATTGTAAGTCAACATAACATATCGAATTGGGTTAATCTGATGTGGGTTAGTGATGTAATAACCCCAATGCCGTTAATATTCATCTCTGTAAACAGCGGCCGGTTTATTTGTAAAATTGGGTTCGTTTTTGATTGTTAAAATGAAACTGACCAATATGGACGCCATAGCTGCTGCTAAAGTAAATCTCTACATTTTGATTAATCTACGAACGTAACATTTTTAAAATAAACAAATATTCATCATCTTGAAGAACAACTGAATACCTCATTTTTCTCTCAATTAAAAGAGCCACGGTGGCTCAGTGAGTATGGCGCTGGCTCTCTAAGCAGGGGGTAGGGGGGGGGGAGCAGGTTTGCCGATTAATTTGTTCAGGATTTTCAAACCTGACATCCCCTTGTCAGCGGAACAATGCGGAGGGCGTGGCCTGGCAATAAAAAGTCGTCTAGTTATTCGGATGATGTAAAGAAACCTGGGCCCACTTTTTTACAGTCGGAATTCGATAAAGAGCAGACGGAAAAGCCGCTGTCCGGGCAAAATTTTCCTCGTAGCACACTGCATGGCGTATGCCCGTCTTCATGAGCCAAATACTGAAATGTGGGACGTTAAACCCCATTTCACTTTAGAAAAACAACAGTCTTAAAGTGCAAAATACAACAGTTTCCTAAGGACATTAGCCCTTGACGTCTTTGCATTCTGCAAGTGATTTATTACGTGCCATTTATCGATAGCAATAATGATAGAAAAAAAAGATATAAAAGGCTGTATAAGAAAAGGGAATATAACCGTGTCACTGCTTCAATAATAGCGCAAGTAGCCAACGTGGTATTATATTAATAAGACGAGACGGTATTCATATTGGTCAATCTCCTATGACCAGGTCAGAAAGGTGGTTGGCATAAATAGATCACCTATATCAATAAATCATTTTAATCTCGCGAACTCATTCTTAAAAGAATGAGTTCGCGAGAGGACCATGCAAAATTTAAAAAAGACCGGCATAAGCTGTGCGGGACGATTTTGACCAAAATTTGCAGATTCGGTCATTGGGTACCCCGTATACCCCACATGAAATATGAGGGTCATTTTTAAGAAAAAAATCCCTAAATTCAAATATTTCCCATAAATTGTCTATTAATTATTTATTTTTTTAAATTATTTTTTTATCAATGATCTTGTCTACTGCTTCAATATATATGACTATTAAATTTTTCAGAAACCATTTGAGGCTATGAGGAATTCATTTTGAGACGTAGTTTTTTCTATATGCTAAATCATATAAATTTCATGATGCTATATCTCACCCACTCCGGGGCTGAGGACAATTCTATTAATAATGGAAGTTGAGGACTACTAATCTAATATTTTGTTTTGACAAAATGACTGGCTCGGATTTCTTTCATATCAAATTTTATGGTCGAACTTGAAGGAAATGACTTCATTTCTGACATCATTATTCCAATAAAATCATTCATTGCCTGGATTATTAGGCCCGATAATGCTCCATGCAACCGCCTTCCAGCAACCCTGTGTAGGGCCGGTACAGATCATTCAGGAGTTCCACAAGGACGATTCCTTGGACCTGTCCTTTATGCAATGTATACTAAAAATTTAGGACAACTTATCGATAATCATGGTTTCTAGGATGACAAACTTATACAGATGATATACAGCTGATTGCAAATTACT